ATCATATTTCACTGGAATGCCCTTGTTATATCTTACTTATCAGCAGGTCGAGCAGTGCACAAATTTTAGTAAAATTTTTGGCAGGGGGGAGCCAGTTTCTTTACATTCCTGCCTTCAGCATTGAAAGTGCCCATCCATCCAAGTTTCAAAGACAAGTTGTTGTTTTTAACCTTTTTAAAAGCCTACGAGAGAGAATGCTTGAAGTTTATGTTATGAAGAGGTCAGTGAGACCCTTGCTGTTGGGAATATAAGTGAGGATAAAAGAAGTAATGCTTTAATTTCAGACCTCAATCACATTTTGATTAATGTGTTAGTGTTGACAGCCCATATAGTGTTATTTTCAGTGTAGAGAGGAAGCATTCTTTGTAATAACATACAATAGTGGGATGGTTGCATGATTGGACTCAGAGGTATCACTTCTAACAAATGGCCTTGTTTATTACAGGACAACTTAGTGAGCTTTGGTATCTGGTCTTGCTTGTATTTCCAGAGCAGACTGTACAGGAGGGAGTGCAGGATGGAAACTGACTTTATTTAAATAATAAGCATTAGTGAAGAAATGCTTTTTGATTGACACTTTGCCCAAGTAGGGGGGTTCACTCTCATCCACATGTTTCCATATTGATAATAGTTCAAAAAATGGATGAGCACATGCGCACACACTGATACAAGTATGATTCATTTTTGACTATTGTGCTTTTTGTCTATATTGTACTCAAACATTGAGTATATTTCATACACACACTTTTACAAAGATGCCAGGAAAAAAATCTGAGTCTTCTTAAAATAACTTTGTGGAAATCCTTCAGCCTAAGAGAAATCTGAACTAAATACCTTATTTTGTCTCTGCTGATCAGTAGAGATGCACTCTTAAGAGGAAGAGACAAGAATGTAAACAATAATGACACTTTGTCCCTGACTCTGCAGCTGTAAAGAGGATGTATAAGGCTGTGCAGTGGATAGAGATGGAGTCCAGGAACATTTTTTGGGATGAGGAGATACTCTTTTGTGCTTGGATAATGATAACCCTGATATGGCAACTAAAATCTGTATTATAGACTAAATAGACTTAAATGAACTGACTTTGTTGCTGTCAGCTTTCACAGTGGCGCCCAGGAAACCTGCAACATTTTTCCTAGAGTATCTTAAAAAGTGTCTAAAGAGTGAAGCTTGAAGTCAATTCTGTGTAGATTTTTCTCTGTGAAGCTGTTCCAGGAAACTGTCCCTTTTTTTTCCATGATTGTTTACTTTGGGAGAACTGAGATCCAGAAACTTTCTGTACAACCTCTTATTCCTGACACTTCAATCCCACTAGCTTATGTAACACAGCAGCAACATCCGTACTGGAGTGTATTTTTAGACTTTAAGAGTTAAAAAATATACAGAGAATCAAGCAGAGGAAAGCAGGGACCTTGTAGAGCACATGCTGTCAGGCTCCCAGGGGAGACCATGTGTCGGACTCGATGCTGGGAGCAAGATGTAGGGGTCAGAGGTCAGTTCTCACAGGAAACAGAAGGAAGTGGTGTTTGTGTTCACATACTGTAACTCAGCTTTCACAGATACTGCTGAAAGTGTGTGGACACCAGTCAAATAAAGTTTAAAATGATCTGGACTTTACATATAATCTAATGGCCACACACCTTTAAAAAAAAGAAAAAGGGTATTTGACCAGAGAAGTAAAACTAGATAAAGATTGACTTAAGAACATTAGCTGGAGAAAGAAGTATGAGCTACACAGCTTTGAAACAGCTTATTCAGGAAAACAACAATTAAGGGTAAAGATCTCCAACCTTTTTTGACTGCTGTGGCAAATCTTGACCCTTACTGTTGCATAGTAGACCTGAAGTATGAGTACACACAAAAATGAATTGCATTTATGTATCCTATCTCTTTCAACTTAAATTTAAGAATCATTCAGATGCTCATATCTAACAGTTTAGCTGTTTTTTTTTTAATCACATCAAAGTGGGGACTGTACGGCTAAAAAAAGGTGATATCTTTAAGGATTCAAAACCAAAATGTGTTTCTATAGTCATACAGAAAATATAAATTCCAAATAAAGCCATTAGAAACTTGTTGGGTCTCAGACAAAAGCTTAGATTGTTCATGTTGACACAAGTCAAACCTATGCTAAGGCAAAAAGCCAGTCATTTTAGGATTTTAAGGTGATTTTGGAATTCCTTGACCAATCATATTTTGGACCCTGCCACCTGCCCCTGTCCTCATTTGATAAACACAGCGTTGGTCTGAGCCCGACCTTTTAACAACAAAAAGAAAACAGGTCAATTGTATTTAACTGCTGCACAATGAACACAGCTCAGATCCTGAGATGTTCAACTCAATGTTCTGCTATCGCAGCAGGTGATTCGTGATTGGGAAAGCCTTGCTTATGATGATCTGTTGATCATCATAGCAACCGTCTGACTGGCAGACGATGACATTCAGCTGGTCATGTTCATGGACCAGAAACACGTCCAAAGTTCTTGAGTGTATCCAAGTGAAGTCACAAGTCATGTTCATACAACTCAGGCTCGTCTGAAGTTCCCCTCTGAGTAAGTGCATTACTCACAGGGGAAGCCGGTCAACCTAGTCCCAGAGAGGAAACTGTGTGGTGTTGAGCCAATGTCCATAAACCAAGAGAGCTTCTGCTGTCATGGGTGGGAGTTGGTTACAACACTCTTTCCTGATCAGAGAACTCTTGCAGCTGCAGTCTGCGTCAAATTTTCAAAGGTCCCTGCAATGATAACCACAGCTGTTTTATCTTCTTCAATTTTCACGAGTTGAATCAAAAACCAGAGACGCTGAATGGAAAAGCGTCTTCAAACTAAGTTTTTATTTCTTCGTACAATTACACAACCCAGATTCTGCATGAGATCTCAGCCTACCTTGTCAGAACACACTGTGATGGCTAGTAGATTAGATAGCACTAAAGTAACTGTGCAGCCATAATATAAGCTGCATTTACTCTGTCTCTCTATCTTTACTTTTTAAAATCCTGAACACCTTTGTTTTTGTCTCTAACTTGTTTTTGTGCTCTTGTATCACACTGTATCAGTAGCACTACAAGGTTTGTTTTGAATATAAAAAAGATTAGAGATAAAATGTATAATAACTATTATTAATCACAGACCAAAGCTCAACTTTTGTTTCTAAAAACTGACAAACCAAAATGTCAAAATTCACATCATGCAAGTGCACTGGCTGGTGCTAACTTTGTAACTGGTGTAAGAGGTTTACCACTTAGAGGGTTTCTCATGAAGAGAGGCACAAAAGACTCTCACAAATCTGTGACTCATTTCTAATGTAATATGTTTGTTGAACAAAGCAGAATGGGAGATTATTATGATTTTTCTTAACCACATTTAAGAGGGAAAAAACAACACAGTATATCTTTTCCCCTGTTAAGGTCTGTATCTGGTGTAGAGTGCTGACTGTGGTTCAATGATTTCCTTGTTTCCCGTTCAGTTACCAAAATATTGCGATTGCTGTTGCTATTGCCTAAAAAGGTCAAAGCAGTATCGAAGTTTTTGTGGCTTTGTACAAAAATGTTGTTTCCAGTAAACCATCAAATCACACACACTGCTGGATTCTAAACAAAATCACACACAAAATACAGACAAGCAAATAAATAAGAAGAGAACTGAGTAAATGATTGACCCCTTTCCCCCATGGCAAGCACCCTGGGCTGAGCAATATGTGCTGATACAACTTACTACCCCCCATTATGTCCCAGCAGTGAGTCCAAATTGGCAATCATCAATGTACTGGACTGTTGCCCCAGCACACAGGAGTTCATTAGATCTTTGATGGCATTGTATGAATTTAATTAAAACTCATTTCCATTTCTTAGCTGGGGATGAGTAACAATTTCTCATCAGCTGCTGGTTCCTCAGCTGCAGACTTCATTTAACTTGGCAGACTGTTCGTGTCAGAGTTAGAGCATGATCTAATACATGACAGACCCAAAAGATATTAATTACAATAACAGCAACAGCCTAATCATCCTTTGTCAGAAACAATAGTTTCTGAGTGACAGCAGTGCACCATAAGATCATAATGCTTAAGAGGACACGCATGGCATCATTAGCTGATAAAAGGAGGACATCTTTGAGAGCAGACTTCTTTGTAGTTTCATTGATTGTTAATTAGGAAAGTAAATATGTGACTATAATGTATGTGAATGTGTCCAGGTTCTTATAATGGTGAACACCAGGTGGTGATGAGTACTTGATTTTGATTGATCAAAACTCCAGAGAATTTGTAAATGGGCAGGGTGAGCATAAAACAGGAAGATAATCCTGCAGAGGATTGGGTAGGAGAAATGACATAAGCCATTCCTATTGCTAGCTGCCACCTAACAAGAAACAGTTCGCAAAATTCTAACTGGCCCTTTTTACTGAAGTACGTTACCATGGCCCACTGTAGCCTCTTTTATGGCTATAAAATTAATCTTAATGATTTATTGTATTGTTAAATGGCACCAGTGAGAAAGACAGAAGACTTTTGGACTTGTCTGTTGAAGCTCAGTCAAGTGTGTGTCATGAAATTTTAATTTTGGGGAACTTCAAACAGAGTTTGGCCCAAACCAAAGGTCCTGCCTCATTCACCCAAAAGTTACCAGAAAAGAGGTTTGGTGTTAGTTCATATTTTGGAAAATGATGTAACTCTTTTTCCTTTATATATATTACATTCTAAGTATTACAGGGATGTATCATGTGTTGGGCTTCTTTCAAAGATTTGTTGCAAGTATAATGTGACATAAGATAATTTCATAAATTGCCCCATCCTTAATTCACCAAAATACAATGCCGAAATTTGTAGAATATGGCTGTGTCCAAAATGGATCCCTAAACCTATTATAGGTGACTACATGGGGGTTAGCGCCATTTTCAGGGGGTGTCCGAAACCTCAGTGATCAATTCCAGTGTCCTATATAGGCGACTCAAAATTTCCCATAAAGCATTACAAAATGTAGTGACCATCCAATGGTCACTCACCGGTGGTGGGCACCCTGTCATGCATTGCGTCATGCCATGTAGTGTCTGAAACCTCCGGGGATTGAGTTCACTACATAGTTAACTATATAGTGAAATCCCATATGGGGGTTAGGAGTTAGGGATTGAGTGATTCATTTGTTTTTCACAAGTTTTGGTTTGGAAAATAAGGGAATTTGTCCGACCCCAGCCCCATCCCCTGATCGGTGCAGCAAGCAGGGGCGGGGGTGTAAATTCATAGTCTGTGTGATCACGGATGATAACTCGCTTCTACTAGTTGGTGGGTACTAAGCAGGCCAGTGACAGAGTTCAGTTTGGAGAGAAAGAATAATGTTTTTTTTCCATATAATATAGGGGAGAGTGGGGTAAGCCAAAGGGTAAGTTGAGCCACCCCCTGTTGCTTGGAAATGGTAAAAGAAATTGATCATGTGACCAAATATTTAGGAGATGGGCATACATTTATGGAGTCTGTGGAGGTTAAAAGCACATGGGTGAAGAGGTCAGACATTTACCCCCCCTCCCCCCCATGTCACTCTTGAAAGTGAATTTAGTCTAGCTTAAGTTTTATTAGAATTGTGTTCAGACCAAAAAAAAGATCATTTTAAATCTATTTTATACATTAATTGTGGTATCTATGAGCTACAACATGAGGTCAAAAACCTAGCATAAAAGTCCACCATTTTAGCTTAAAGGACGAATAAAGTCATCATAGTAGTTCTGGGGTAAGCTGGTCCAGTGTCTTAACCGAGAAAGTAAATAAGTATGATGAGAGGATCAGAGTTTTAGATCAGATTGTTGAAAGATTGTTGAAAAATGTTTTACTTTTTCTGTCAAAAAATACAGCTGTGAATGTTCTGAATCACTTTAAGTTAAAATGGCTTTTTACCAGTTTAACCGTTTTTTTAGCAGTCATATGCAATAATAATAAAAAATAATTATTGTACCAGTTGAATAGTGTATAATACAAAAACACATGAATGTGAAGAAGTGACTGTTTTTTAGGGAGAGAGAAGGTGAGGGAGGGCTGGGGTGAAGAGTGTGCGTGTGTGACCATAGGAGACCACTTTTTTTGGCATGCTATTATCAAGACAGTTCTGTTTACACTCATTCTGTTAGTTTGGAGGGATGCACAACATCTTGAAATATATACAGATACACTAGTTAGAGACAAAACTATGATTGCCTTGATGTAGTGATCCGAATTATGAAAAATGGCTCATTTTACCCCACTCTCCCACATAATATAATACGGGAGATTTACGGGAGAATAATACGGGGAGACGGCGGGAAAGATGGGTGAAATACGGTAGTTTATAGGCCAAAGCCGGATACTCGACTGCTATGTGTCAGGCTGATGCGTATCTCATTCTCTCAGTAAGAAAAACTGATCATATCACTGTTTCAGACAAAAACCTACTTACTCTATGGTTCAGTCCCTTAAGCTTGTCTCTGCTGACAGTGTGCGGTCGCGCGCTGCCATTACAGCCGCAGGCACACAGTAAACAACACGACGTCACTTCCGCCTTCAGGTTGACAGCAAAACAACAAAAGCAGGAGCGATTTAAAAATCATCTTCACATCTAGAGCCGTTTCAGAAAGCCTTTACAGAGATAAAATGAAGGTAAATGAGTCCGCTCTTCTGTATTATTCTGCACGTATTTGTCGTGAACGTTCAGTGAGTGGACGTGTTGGTGTTTACGCGAGTGCGTATGTGAGAGTTAGATACCGTTATCTGTAAAGATGAACAACCCGCTCCTCTTCAAACATCACTGCAAACATTTCTATCCTGCTTTATTATGACGGATGTTGTAACTCAGATCAATCACGTGTATACTGATGCACCCAAATTCTCAACAAGGACTAACATCGACAGTGATGTCAGATGATCAATTGATCTTCTTGTGGTGAGATAATCAGTGACCAGATGATGAAACGTTTTTTTTTTCTTTCAGTTTTATCTGAGCAGCATTTCTTCTCAATATTTATTATCCTTTCAAGGAAAAATTGTATATTTACATCACTAAATGACAAAGCCTTTCCTTCTTATATTGCTCAAACACGGGCCTATATGGCACAAGTTGTTTTACAAACCTTTTTAGTAGATTCTTCATCCTCCCTGAAGTTGTAGCAAAGGCTACAGATTATTTTTCTGAGTTCAATACATGTCCTTGGCTTGTGTCAAGATGATTTGTCTTTTGCAGAGCAGCTGTGCCATAATGTACAGTATACTCTTATTAAATGGTAATGTTAAAGCTCCTGTGATGAGTTTTAGATGTGTATGAAACAGTGGACTGAAATGAATATTTTTTGCTTCTTATGGCCTGAAACAGAAAAGAAGAACATATACAGAAAGAGCGATTATTTCTACATTGTTTTTTTTAATGTCTGAAACTGCTTGTGAGGGTCAGACAAAGTGAACATGCATGAACAACATGCTCACGATGCAGCCACCATTTTTCAGAATTTTGACATCAAAGATCCTTGATGAGAGACACATTTGGTTGTCAAAGGAGATAATTGTTCAGGCTGTAAGATAAGGGGCCATCAAGTTCGGCCTTTGTCATTGAAAAGGGGTCCAATTTGCCACTAGGTTTTCACCTGCTTATCTATTGAGAGGGTGAAATGGTTGGAATCAGACAGATTTTTTTTTTATTACACAACCTGGAGCACAGCAGTACAACAGTTTCCTCTTGATAACATGTGTTCCTCCTACCCTATCCCTCTGAGTGTAACATCAGAGGCAAATAGATGATTTTTAAATTGTGATGATGTTACGTTTCATTGTATCTTGTTAGTCTTAGTAATCTCACTTTACCTATGAACAGCTCCTGTTTATGCAGCCTCAAAATGAGTGATTATCCCCTAATCAAGTCTGTAGTCGTGGATTTGTCCCCTATAACATTAACAGTGTGTGTTTCCTTTCAGGTGATGATTTCACAGCAGGAAGGTGAAGAGACAAACTCACCTGTTGACTGCAACAACCACTATAAGTGTGAAGACAGGGAAGAAGAGGAGCTTCCCCCCGACCTCCAAGAGGAACATTCACCAGGTGAGGGGCCATCATGACAACTTAGATCAGTTTTCAAAAATGCAGACCTTTAGAGGTCCAACCAGTTTTTGTTTACTTTCATTTTTTTTCTCCTGATTCCTCAGTGGAGAGTGATTACCTCTGGGAATTTGTGTCAGGATATTATATAACACAGATGTTTAACATTGTCATCTTAGTGAGGTAGTTAGTTTGAAGAGAAAAATGGAGGGATTGGAATCGTAGGTATGGAAAAGTTACATGTTCTGCTGCTGCTGTTATAGGAAGTGTTGGTTGTCTCTTGGACCAGTCAGCAGCATTCTGGATAAGGTCTAATCTCCCTGAGGTCTACACAGTCTTCTTTTATGAACATGGATTGATGCATGTGGGGGTTTGAAGGTTTACCACAGTGCTGGTTTTGTGTAAACCACTTTCAGGAACTTTATCGTCACATCACATGAGAGCAGTTTCACTTAATGTGCTGTGAGCTAAAAATATGCTAAGCATGTAATGGGATTGGTTTCTTAAGTGTGACGTTTCATGTTGCACTGGGAACTGTGAGTGTGAACAGACCCCCCCCCACCCAATATCTCCCTTTGACTTGGCTGGAAGATGACCAAAATAAGGTAATGCTGGAAAGACATCACAAGGTGAAGGTCTCTGAGTTGTTACATGTGCTGTTACATGTATTTATCAGTTAAATCCTGTCATGTAGCTAATGACTGTTGCACAGAATAGAATTCTGTGTATAATGGTAGCTGACCAGGACTGTTTATTTTGGGACAAAACATGGGGAGCTGGTTAAATGTAGTTATGCTGCTGATTGGAGTGAGAAGGCTGGTTAAAAGTGGTCCTATTACAGTAATTAGCCTCTTTGTGTGCAGAAAACCCAACAGCAATCTTAAATCTCATGGTTTTGTCAAGATAAACTCATTTCTATGAAACTCTGCATGAACCAAAAAGTCCAAGTCACCATTACCTTTGAATTTGTTGGAACATATACTGTAAATAGTGTTAGAATAGAATTTTTACATCAAGAAAAAGATTTGCTTTGCAATAAACCCCTCAGGATATTTGCTAACAAAGAAAATAATAACACCAACATCATCTCCCATGTATCATCCAAATCAGCAATGACCTCGGTCAAGACCTTAAACCCTCAAGTAAGTGCACTGTATTGACCAGTGATGTTGCCATAGTGACTATTTTCCAAGTTATTTTTAACAAAAGTTTTAATTCTGACGAGCTGACTTGTGTGAATGTAGACAAAAACCCTGAAAGGAAATTTATGTGACAACTCGACCAAATTCATAATTCCAACCACCTGGTCTATGCTTGTCATCTGCCTCATTTAAAATAGATAAATAAATAAAAGACATGGATGCAAACCAACTTCCTTTGACTGAACTCAAGTACATATGACATTATAATCATTAGTCCTAAATCACTCACTAAATCAGCTCAGAACTTTGCCTAATTTCGATAATTTCACCTTCACTCCATCATCCAGCATCCATAGCCTTGGAGTAATCTTTGAGACCAACCTCACATTCCAACAGCATGTTAATCACATTACCCAGACCACATTCTTCCACCTCAATATCATCCGTCTCAATCCTTCACTCTTCTCCTCGGCTGAAACCCGGATTCATGCTTTTATCAAATCCAGAATTGATTACTGAAACAGTATCTTGTTTGGTTCACCCTCCAAAATTATCAATAAATTACAATACATCCAAAACTCTGCTGCTTACCTCCTCATCCACACCTGTTTACGCAACCACATCACTCCAGTCCTCCAAAACCTCCATTGGCTCCCTGTTCACCCTGAATTTAAAATCTTTCTCCTCACGTTCAAAGCCATCCATCATCAGGCCCTCTCCTACTTCACTGACCTGCTCCACTCCTACACTCCTTCCAACATCCACCAATCCTCAGACTCTTACCTTCTCACTCCTGCTCTGAGGACCAAGCACCAAACCTGAGGGGAGCGGGCTTTCTCCTTAGCTGCCCCCTCCCTCTGGAACACTCCCCAAATACATCCAGGACTTTACGGACATATCAAAGTTTAGATCCCTCATCAAAACCCACCTGTTCAAATCTGTTATTAATTGTTGATTCAACTGTATTTTAGCCTGTCTTTTACTACATCATTGTCAATTAATTAAACAGAACAAAAAATGCAATTTAGTGCAATTAACTACTGAAATCCTACATTAATCCGTACTATGAAAGAAAACAATAATCTGGCAGCCTTGGTTTTTACTTCTGCTGTAAAGTTGTGCATTTCTACATGGGACCTGTAGGGGGTTAAGCCTCTTTTGGAGTGAACTCCGAGGGGCAGGCCAATTTTTGTCTTTCTGCTTGTAATATTTCGTTCATGCTTGACTTACCAGGACCCTTTTTTTTTATAATGTGCCGTGTTCATACTGCATCTTCCAAGAAGTGATTTCAAAAAAGGTTACATCATGTTTCCATATCTGAGTAAGGCTTTTTTGTGTCCACTAAAGAGACTAACAAAATTTATGTTTGATTTTGGTTAGTCGTAATGTCTTGTACTAAACCCTGTGTGTGCTTCTCTCCAAGACAGTTCAGCTTTTCTCTAACTCTCTACACATTCCTTTTATGTGTTTTTTTTTCTCTGTAACCCACAGATGCAGATAAAGATCACCCCGCGCCAGAAGGAGGAGTCATGTGGAGAGTGGGCGGCGGCTTATTCAGCATGACACGAAACGTTGTCGGTGCGACCCTGGGGGGCGTTGCGTGGGTAGGAACAAAAAGTTTTGAGCTCACCAAGACAGCTGTTACTAGTGTGCCGGCAGCTAGTGCAGGATTGGTCAAAGGAAGCGTCTCCATGGTTACAGGAGGTGTTGGAGCTGTGGGATCTGCGGTGGCGAGTAAAGTCACACCAAGGAAGAAGGATAAAGCTGACTGATGGACAGTGGGCTTGTGTGTGTATGTGTGTGTGTTTGTGTGTCGCAAACAAGAGCAAAATATCTCGAAAGCTGAGAATGGATTTTCATCTGCAGTTCTCCTGATAAAAGCAGCCTCTCCACTCATACAACAACAAAGACACAAAAGCAGCAGGATGTCCTTTACCCGTGGAAAATCTGATACACAAGGAGGCACAGCTGTCAATGACGCAAAGGTACACCAAGAATGCAGCAATAGCAAGCTGGGAAATACAATTCCTCATGTTTGTATCTATGTTGCATGAGAGTAACATGCTTGTGTGGCACAGGAATCAAAAATATTGCTGATAATTTTTCTAGTCAAAGCTGAAAATTTAAATTCTATCATGTGCTCAGGCTCAAACATTTTCAAAAATTGTAAAGTTAGCCACCAGAGACAACAGATTAATTTTTGTCTGCATGTCTCAAATGTAGTTTTGAAGATATCTTTAGTAGCAAAACTTCAAAAGCTTTATAGAAAACAGCAGTGGATGTTGATTATGTTTTACAAGGAAGATGATTTGATGGAAGCAGTGTTAGCAATAATGTGATCATATTCTCTGATACAAAGAACAAAAAAAGAATGGGATATTATAATACACCCCAACCAGACAACTTCACGTTTGCGTTAAGTAGAGAGCGTTATTGCTGTTTAATGGACACTTGCGCTTTCTGAGGGACACTATTGGATGTGCTACCCCTTGTCTCCCATATTTATGAGAGGTGCCATCAAAACACTGGGTTGAAAGGCGCTGACGTAGTCCAGTGGTGTCTCAAAGGCACGCAGAAATTTAACGCTAATAAATTGTTGCAGATCCCTCAGGTTGACAGATTTTGTTAATAATTGTTTATAATTAAAGTTCTCCAAAAGAGGTAACACCGTGCAAAATGCGTCAGAATACTAAGAACATAGTTATCAGATAAAAAGTATGTTTGAGAAATTTCTATTAGACATGAATTTTAATTTTCCAGTTTAGGCCAAGTTCTATTGTTTACATGAACTGGGCAAGCTTTATGATCTATACTACAATGTGCCGCTGAGGGGGGCTCTAAATGTTATGGCCTTACAGGTTTATATACAGACTATGGGTGACAAATACAACCCAATGCGTTGGCTTTAACATGAGCTAAATTGTCTGTCAGTGAAGTCTGGTGGCTTCCATTAGATCAGTACAAAAGCTGTTATTGGTTAAAACCATAGATTGTATATAGAATGGACAGCATCTGCCTCCTGTCTGAGTGAAGCCACCACAAGAACAGCACCCTCTGGTGACAGGCTGCAGTATAGGTCATAAATTCTGCCTCCTCCAGCAATCTACATGGAGGTGTGAACAAACTTTACAAATTTATTACACAGAACATACATTTTTCTCCTCCCTGCTTGCGATGTTGACATGTAGTTACTGGTTTGTGCTCAAGTCCTCTTTTTTCTGTACAGCTCAGTTTTTAAAAGTTATTAAGGGGTTCATGTTTTCTATGATTGACACTTGATACAGCCTATGGGTGTACGAAGATAGCGTAGCTCACCCGGGGATATGCTGTTTGAGCCGAGCATCATCACAGCGACTCTCGGCGACTCTCCTGCCAAATGCATACAATGCTATTTTGCAAGTGGTGGAGTGCGTACAATGCTGCTGCGCAATGTTGGTTTCAGGAAATGGAGAAAAAAACACGGAAATACTGAGAGCTTTTTGGCTTCAAATCTGTATACTGGTGGAAGGTGTAACCAAGTTGTCCATAGTATATACAGTCTATGGTTAAAACACACATTTAAAAATAAATTGTAAACAGCAATTCTTGCTCTGTCAGGATAATGTTGTAATGTTGTCAGACTTTTTTTTTTTTTCTTGAAAAAAACAAAAAACTAAAGGAGTCTGTCTGCTAACTACTTAAATTATTTGAAAACTGTCAGACGTGGTCAGTCATTTGCCAACCAGGCATCCATCATTAAACTTTATGCAATCATTTTCAAAAACACCAAGTTTATTTGTTTAGCTCTTGTGAAAATTCATGCTATTTTTAACAACATCGTCCCCAACATCATGTGTTCATCTGCAATTATCAGTGAGTGGATCGGTTATGGCATGCCTAGCTTGTGTGTTTGTAAAGGCATTCATTTCTTACACTATGAGTAAAACACAGCTGTGCTGCAGGCTTTACATTGGCCTCTGTTGTCTTGAAGAATGACTGACTGTAATGTTTCAAACTGACTGAAAGAAAAGTAATATGATGGTTTAAAGAAAGGTGAGCAAAACTTGTAGCAAAACTTTTTAATATGCAGGGAACTCTTGAGTTGGTCGTCAAACCAACAGATTGAAATAGAGGGTGTGGCCTCAATCTCAATATGACTAATGACAGAAAGTTTGTAGCAGATTAGCAATAAAATAGTTTAATTTTCATATAATGTGAAATTAGATAAACCAACATGAAAACACTGAGTTTGAGTCAACTTAAGAAAATATTTACATTTATGAGATGTTTTTAGCTTGTGCACATACTGACTATAAAGAAGCGGATGCAGCTAAAGTGAAACCACTGTGATGTGACAGTTTGAAGACTCCATTTTGGCAGTTTTGTCACCATAATCCTAAAGTTCTGGAGCTAGAAGTGACCATATTTGGTCACTTGGTGTAGCCACCAACTTCTGGATGAGACTAACTTTCCCTTGTGATGCCATTTTTTCTAATCTGACTATCCAAGAGAGAAATAGAAATGGAGTCAGAGTTCAGGAAAAAAAGTAAGAGGGAATCATTTCTCTCTCTTCTGTTTAAAAATGTTAGTTAAAGCTAGATTGTCACTGGATGACCATTAATGGGTTCAGGGTAAAGAGGTTGCATCATGGTGGAATTAAGCCGCGCCCCTTTTTCTTTCCCTCCAGACTACTTTCCTGTAAGTAGTTCCTGTATAGCCGGAATTTCACTGGTTTCACTGGTTGATGATACAAGTACAACCAACAGAAAGTCAAACATGTCCCTCACAAGAATCTGGGACCATGTATTCTTATTTTGCATTTCTATGCAGAATCTGTATGGAGACCCTGAAGTATTTGTCACTCTACATTCCAGTTTCCTCTAAATGAAATCAAAATTGACAAATAATCATTATGCTGTATTGCAGAACCCTTGCAACTAGTGCTTGAGACCAGACATGACCATAGATGACTGTGTATGAGGTGAAAAACCAAGTGAGAAGAAGGATTGTTTTGTGATTGGTTTCAACTCCAAAGTGGAGTGGCTCTGTGCCCGCCATTACCATTTTCATCACTTTTATTGTAAAACCAAGAGGTTACATCAGCTTCTCATTCAGTCTGTGGTACATGCATTTGTGCAAATGAAAACCAGGCATTCAAAAGTGCATGTCTTCATCAGACTGAATCACTGCTTAGCGCTGCATACTACAACAGCTCATGTCCTCTACTAGAAATGGTTCCCTCATATGTTGGATATTGCTGAGTATATTTTTGTGTTTGTGTCTTAATCAGAACAATCATGTTTTAAAGTTACAATTAACTCTTTTGTGAAATGTGTCTATGAACGGTCAGGGAAAAGAACACTTTGTGTATTCAGATTGCATGTCACACATGTAATGAATCCATCTTTTAACTTGCATCAGCAGAGTGAGCTGTACGATACACTATACATCACTAACTACATGAAAGGGAGACTCTGCAGTATGTGCAGTTTCTCTGTGCAACCAATCATTTCTGGACTGGGTATTGCTGATGTTGTTTGGTTGTCAGCTATGACACTCAGACTAGGATTTTCATTTTGTTTCGGCTGCTGCAAACATGAAGGAAAATTTGTGACATTTATTTTCCCTTGTTTTGCTTAATGTGCCCAACAGGACAGCAATAATATACTTCAAAATATCAATTCAGCATGTTAATGGGAAAATGTAAAAGACAAGTATTAAAGGTGTGTTCAGACCCAAACAGAAAGATAATCATCAGGATATCTATAAATGCCAACGCAAAGAAGATCTGATTTCTTAGAGATCAGCAAAGTTGAATATTTCAACTCTCAATAATAACCAGTGTATTAAAAGACATGTTCTGGTGTGAAACTATGAGAAATGTAAGGAAAAAAGTCTTTGCTTTTGGTCTAAACTCAGATTCATACAGGCTGCACTGATCCTGGGCTCTAGATGTCAATTCATTTGGATTGTAGACTAAACCAGAGCTGTACTGTAACTTCAATGTTCTCTTTGAAGAAGTTTCCCGCCCACAGTTAACAAGCAGAATGTAAAACTCTCTCTTGATAATACATGCCCATCACTCAATGTGACTTTATGTTGACCTAATCTCTATTACCTGGTCAAAAACACTCCAGATGCAGGTGGTATACTTGAAGTTGGTCATTCTGCTAACTACGGCTTCTTCGTTTAAGATAACGATTCATGAAATATGGACAGATGTTCTAGACCCCAAATCTGACCTCAAAACGTTGTAAAAAGAAAATAAAGATAAAGAACAAAGCAAGTGTTTCTACTGCTCCTACAAACATTTGAATCTCAATCCTCCTTTTTGTCTGATATCCTGCATTTCCTCTTAATATTTGCTCAAAAGATGGAAGCGTATAAAACCACCTCTTTAAACACAAGGTTGAAAGAAATAAAACTGCTGAGGAATTGTCTGTAACCTGAGGAGAAACTGTTTATAATAGCATTAATGTAGGTGACTATCCTGTCCCTTATAATGTGATAGATTGAAGACCAAACTCTGTTTGCATTTGTGTGTATTTTGTAACTTGGCTGTTTATGTGATCCAACATTTTTTATGAGAAAATAAAATCGTTCTACATTTGCTGCAAGACTCAGAGTCTGTTTTTTAATTTCTCTTTCTCTTATTAACGCTCAACGACTCAACTTTTCGTCTTGCCATTTGTAATAAAGATTTCAGTCATTCAGGAGTTCAGAACAGGCACAAACATCTGACCTGACCACACTTCCAGTTGCTTCCTGTGTCAGTTAAGGGCAGTTTTGCAGGGGCTACATGAGTCCAGATTTTGGACATCACTCACTCCAGCTCAAGCAATGACTAGCTTGGGACTTGTTCCATGTATGTCTTATGTATTTTGTTAGATATTTTTATATCTGATAATTAACTCAGTTTCAAGGAAGGGGTGGTACATGTTCTCTTGGATTTATGTGTCTTTGTTCAGCAGTTGTTTCTGCCAGGATGCTGAAGTGGTACCACAAATATTGAGCTTTGCTGTGGAAGATTGTATTGTATACATAGGCAACATGGCAATGTAAAAGAACCATCAATTGCAACCACCACAATGAAAAATGATGTTATTATGGGGAATTTGCTTGGAGTCAGACTCAGGTTATGAAGACTTGACTCCAGCTCTCCTTGAGAGTTGACTCGACTAGACCCCTATTTGACTTGAACTTGACTCGAGGCTTCAACACTTAACTTGGCTTTAGAGACTTAACTACAACATTGGTTTAGTGTGAATTATCTCACAAACAAATGTATCATCTCCATCATTAACATACAGTTGTAAGACAAATGTCAGTCCCACTCACTTGTTTCACGTGTTGGGTTCAAGGTGGTTTCTTTGTTTCTCTTTTTTATTTTTATTTCTTAACTTCAAATACCGTTAAGTGAAACTCAGAACTTTATTAACCTATTGTTCTAGCTAAATGGTAATAGGGGAGACCAGGGATGGTTGTAACATGGGGACACTGCGATTTCCTCCAATCAGGGTTAAGACTCCTGTGAGGAACTTTTAGTTGGTGCTGGTTTTGGGGCCTCCTGTGGACAAAGCAGTCTTTGCTTATCCTGTCTGCTGCACACTTGAGTAGTGATCTATGAAAACAAATCTCATCCTGCTGGTTTCTGACAGTCAACTGTATCAATCATTGTGGATATTTGATAAAAATAATGATACAAAAATCTTAAGTCTTGTTGGTTATAGTTCTGTTTGACTTTTGAATATCATCAGCTGGCATCACCATGAATTTCAGCCAATTTCATAAATGCAAAAAAAATCTCCTCATAGGAGCTTTAAGTTTGTAATAAAACTGTACATAGTTTGCATTATTTGTTCCCTGCAAGTTCTGCATCATGAAGGTAAAGTTGGATGTTGACCAGCTGAACTGCCTGCTGTTTTGTCCATCATGTCAGATTTATTCAAGATGGTCGCTGGATGAGAGAACCTCACCACCTGAAATGACTGTTTACACATTGAACAACATAATCAATGTTTTGGACAAAGTTTTATTACTCTTACTAAATACCAAACTATATTTGTACAGGTAACTTCTCTCGCTTAATCAACAAACCAGTGTATAACACCATAAACATTTCTCTTTTTTATCCAAGACACTTTGGTTACAACAATGGAAGTTGGTTCGTTGTTACAAATGAAACATCCACACTCTGTTGATAAAGCAGGTAGAAGGTTCGTCTGGTCAGTGATTGAACATAATAAAGTTGATCAACTATAAAAACTTACAATGACAGTTCACATAGTTTGATTTGATAATGTTTCATTTCTCGTTAATGAGCACTTCCACACTGATCAACAAAAAATAAATAAACTAAACATGCTTTTATTGTTAAACACAGGCAGTTGTTGAGATCAAGCGTTTTAATAAGTAAAAGAATCTGGACAATTCTGCTCTCACCTGTCATTGATAATAAATGTTTAATAAGTATTCTCCATCAATGGTAATACCTTATGGACAAGGATGATAAGATGAGTGATTTGATGGTGAAAAGTCTTTTCTAAAACAATATTGTAAAGCTGTACAAGAAGCCAGACCAACATACAAAACGTCAAGGCCAGTTAAACTGTTATCAAGTGGTAAAGTGAGTGTAAATATAAAAAAATGTAAAAATAAATGAATAAACAAATAAATAAAAACAGGAAACCGTTTAATATGGCTTTCTTTAAATGACTGGACAAAAACTCTGACTTTACAGTACCAAATACATTAACTGTCCCCTCAACAAAATAGTTTGTTTCTACATTAATAATTGACTCTGTGGTTTAAAAAGTTAGCTCTGAATGAACTACATTACTAGAGAGACTAGCTGCTGCTGGTTTGAATGATCTACTTGATCTATAAATATGCCTTTTTAATCACCTTAATATGAACCTGAAATAAGCAGTGCAAGGACTGAAATGAAATTAATCCTCTAAAGGTGATCTGTTTGATTTAACACAGGAGTACTTTTGTTAGGTCACATTAACATAGCAGCTATTTTCCTGGGATGTCACACTCTGGGTAAGAACAAGCAGAAGCCTCCAGTGTTGAAAGTTAAAACCCGTGTAGAAGTGCAAAAAAAAACAAGAGTTCCTAAAATGACCACTTGAGGCGCACAAATCTCAGTTATGGTCTTGACAGCTTGTTTTTATTTAAAGCCCCCCTGCAAGAAGATTTTTCAAGTTCATAAAATGGACTGAAATTCATACTGATACCTTTTTTATGGCATACAAAAGATAAGACCATCAACGACAAGACCGGCGATTTTTTTTTCTGACACTGGAATGAGGGATTATTGGTTTCCCAACCAGTAAGCTGTTTTTATCATATCACTCAAATTCCTAAAACATGTGTGTGACATCACTGGAAAATGGCTGTAATATGAAATTAGTTATTGACGATACATTGACTCATTTATTGCACTAATGTGGTTAAAATATATAAAACTGTAAAGCAGAGAAGAGTGAAAGTCATTAATGAATAAGAGAGGATAGATAGATAGATAGATAGATAGATAGATAGATAGATAGATAGATAGATAGATAGATAGATAGATAGATAGATAGATAGATAGATAGATAGATAGATAGATAGATAGATAGAAAAATGTGGTAAAGAGGGATAACACTGCTGCAGAATCAAATCATTTCAGTTTGTTTTAGAGAAGTTTGAGAAATAAACAGATGGATGGTCACAGCTTTTTCTCGAGCACAGACAAAGTGAGATATCCAGATTAGTCAGAGTGACAGCACTGTTATATAATCTGTTCCTCTTAAACTACACTATTGTCTTGTTTGGATGGTTCGTGAAACCCACACTGACTGTATGTGCGTGGTATTGTTTAAAGGAATGGGAGGAACGTCCTGTCCTCCACTAAAGAGTGTGAGAGGTTTCTCAGTTCTCTGGGGTGAAACACTCGCTTGTATCCGAGGAGCTCCAACAGCGGCTGACAGGCAGTCTGCGTGTAAAGGACCATATCGAAGGACAGCTTCAGCCTCCAGTTTTCTGCATTAGCAGCAGAGTCCCGCACTGTGGTGAACTTCTGCCGCGAAGAGAGATCACTGCTCCCGCGGGTGTTGTTGATGATCCACTCCTCCACACTGTGGTCTAGATCTAGACCCAGGAAGCTGTAGAGCTCTCTGGCTTTCTGGAGAGGAAATCTAGCCAAGTCTTCATACCTGAACAAGATCAGGTGTTGGAGGGAGGAAAATCAAGCAAATAAGAATAAAAAAGAAGAAATTATTTCTGATGATCTGAAATTGGTGCAGCATTTGCTCTATCATCAGATCCTGGTGAACTGTTTTGAGACATATATAGTCTTATATATTGTCCTATAGTTTTAACATTTGGTTTTTATAAAACAGCCTTTTAGTGTTCACCTCCTGATCAGGATCAGGGGCCAAGATGTTTTTTTAATTTTAAGTATCTGCCAATATTATTATGGAATATGGACTCCTCTATGTTCGGATACCTGAGAATCAGGGGTTTTTCTTTCATCGGCTCTACAACCAGTTTTAGTCTTGTTATCTGCAGGAGTTGAAGTCTGGGCAGCATCTCTTTATTGTCCTTTTGGGGGCGGACTAATGGACAAAGGTGTGCCTCTATGATGATGATGAATTTAACTATTGAAGCTAACACTTCCCTCAAACATTATTTCTATTGAACACTTTGTTGTGTATCTGGATGCACAGGCTGGTAGTTTCTAAAGCTCATATTCAGCTCAATAGGAACTAAAATGGTCCTCTCTCCCAGGCTTTGGTCTAAAATTCATGATCATAATTTGGTTTACTTGAAGATTATGAGTGTTCAATGGAGGTGGGTGGCACAAGACATATTGGTCATAAGTAGTGGGTTCATACAACAATCAAGAACTGCAGCTTTTAAGTATGACACATTAAGTATGACGCATCAAATATGACGCTGTGCTTTTTAAAATCTTTCAAACTCTCCAATGGTTTGGAGGAATGTTTGTCATTCATCAAAACTGACCCCACTTGCATGCTGTGTTTCCTTTGTTATGGCAATGACTAGATTTTTAAGCAAAATGAAACCCCTCTTTAAAACAACAATAGCTAGCACCGTGCGCATTTGCTGCTGTTCCTCTAGTGTTCAGTCCACTATTGTTGACTTAATTGGATCTGACCACTAATCTGACAGCTAACTCTAACTACAAATGTTGCACACAAAAAGAAGCTGGGTTGTTTTTTCAACCCAACCTCTAGGTTGAGCCTGTTGGCCAATTTATTTGGGTTATTTTCATGGAGTTGCGTATTCTAAGTACCCAATTAGCAAGGTTATTTACGTTGGGAACAGAGTTTCTAGCTGTTGGGTTGTTATTTCTCTACAGTTTTGTTGGTTTATTGTGGACTACCCAACACATTGGGTAGATGTTCGGGCATTTGAAACCAAGCACCACCCACTCACCAGATTGATGCCACAACTGCTGAAGCGAGGAGAAGAACAAAGCAAAGTTTGTTACATTCTCACTTTACCTTATAGATGACTTAATATTTTTATATAGACCCTCATTTTGTTCATTCTCTGTCAGTAAAATGAAAAGGCGGCTGTTAAGGGCCGGCAGTAGTTCAGGAGGTAGAGCGGTCATCCAATAACTAGAAGGTTGGTTGTTCGATTCCCCCCTTTCCCAAGTCTGAAGGTTGTGTCCTTGGACAAGACACTTAACCCACCTTGCTCCCAGTGTGTGTCCTCCACTGGTGTATGATTGTGAGTGTTGTGTGGTGGTGGTTAGAGAGGCTGTAGATGCAAACTGGCCCCAGGGCAGCTGTGACTAATAAGGTGGTTTACCAACACCAAGGTGTGACTGTGTGAGCAGATGAATTAGGCTCTCCAATGTAAAGCACTTTGAGGGTCTCTGATGAAGCACGATATGAAATCTGATGCATTAATGTAATTTAATATTATATTAAATATTAACAACCCAAATGCTGTGTTTAAAAAACCCAATTAGTTGGGTAAAATTAACCCAGTATGTGTTCTGTCCAATATTTAACCAGCGCTGGGTTGGGAAACTACCCAAATTGGGTTGTTTTTAACCCAATGTTTTTAAGAGTGTACCCTGTCTTTCTTACCTGAGCAGCATGTATCTCCCTCTGAGCCAGGCAGGTCTGGCTAGGCTTGTGGACACAGATTTGAGGAAGTCCTCACACACTGTATTGATCTGTCCCAGGTCCAGGTTATGGGGCCGACGTCCGGTCGCTCTCCACAGACGCCACAGACGGTAAGTGTCTCGAAAAGTCTCAATACGGGATGCCAGGATGCCGCGGGGATCTCGAACAAGCTGAACCACCTGATGAAGATGGATAATAGTGAGTTAAATTCTCCAAGAATACACAGTGGGTGAAAACACTTATGTGTTTTGTATTTGTTCTGATATTTATGTGATGGGGGAAGAGGAAGAAATGGCTGAAGTTCATCCCTTTAGTTATAAAGCTCTGTAAAGTTAACAAAGAGTTATGAGTTTCACTGTAAATACAACCTAGTGACTGGTGTATCACTGGCAATGAAAATTTGTTTTGCAACTTTTTCAGGCTGGGTTGCATTGTTGATCAGAGCTATAAGGGAGCACATTTGTTTGTGTTTTGATACAGAAGCTGGAGATAGCAGAGAGTGGGGAAAGACATGTAGCAAAGGTTTATGGTTAGAAGCTGAACTAACAGCTGCTTCAATAAGGACTGTAAAGCCATTGTAGATGGGGCGCATGCTTTAACCCCCAGGCCAGACTGACACCCCATTAGTTAGCAACACCAGCAAACATCATCAGACTGGGCACTTGTCAGCCTCAAGCAGCTGGAGGCAGACCTCAAATAGAGCAACATCTGCTTGAGAGGGAGAAACCATGACTACAGCAGATGTGAATAAAAAGAGTGAAACGATGCATAAACCAGGTGACAGAAACCTCAGTCTTCTAGAAAATATTCAACAAAGTGACATACACTTCTGATTTTCACACAGTGGTTTGCAAAGATCACAAATAGTTGTTCAGCTTATCTTTTTTTTTTGCTTAACTGACTTAAATGACCACAAATCTTTGCAGAGAAAGCAGATTAAGGAAAAATATTGATTAATTAATATATCAAACAACTGAGCTGAAAACAATATCCTTTACTTTTTGAGTATTTAGTGCTTTAAATGAAGTAATATAATTGATTTTGCCTCTGATGGGGCCTTTCAACACAAGGAAAACCTGAGCTTTCTCCCGAATGCAACTCAAGCAAATAGTTATGAAATGGGTCTAGAAGGCAGGACCCTAAATCTTTTAAGACCATGGGAGTCAGCTGTCAATCAAGAGCTGATGTGGGTGGATTTTTGTTAAAGCGGCAGGACAAGTTCATGCTTTTTCTTCATCCCGCTCTTCAGAGGTAAACTTATGAGTTAGGTCTTAAATTGGATACAGACGGCTTCACATCCTTATGTCTTTAGATTTGTGCCTCTACCTTGTACTGAGCTCATTTAATTCTCCCTTTGATCGGCTTCACATAATCTGTATGTTCTAAAAAGTTTCTATAAGTCCTCCTGTGACATGTATTGATGGAATTATTTGGTTCATTAAAATCTAAATGTACAATAAAATGTTACAAACTGGTGTGTCTCAAAAAGTGTATCTGCTCAGCTTACAAAGATTACTGCTCAGACAGATCAAGCAAACACAGCCACACTTAAAGACCCACTCTGATGAAAATCACGTTGTCTTGTTGCCTACATGTTCATATGGCATTTTTCTGATACTAGAGGGCATATCATGAGAAAAAGAAGTGCGAAATTCCATTTTTGAGTATTTCTGCATTTAAATCACTGTGAATCTCTGGCAGACCCAAACAGTGGATCAGATACAGTGAAAAGTCCTTCATAACCAATCCAAGTTCCGCCCATGGTGTCCCGCTATGCAGGCCAAGCTTGGGAAAATAGAGAGGACGACTGCAGAACAAGCATATGCGTTAGCGGATTGAAATACTTGTCAGAAAGCTCATTATGATGTTAGCCTGCATCATGTCCCTAAAGACATTAGTATCCGAGAGCTGAATATCTCCTATGCTATCTGTTTCTTCAACTACACCGGCAATATTAGGCTGCAAGCTAACTCGAGGAGAAGTGTGCAGAGCAGCGCTGTTTCCGCCCATGACTCAGAGGCGAATTGCTAATGAGCTACTGGAGCTCTGCAGAAGAAAATCCCTTGAAAACGACAGAGGTCATGTGATTTTGGCTAAAAACTTCAGAATCACAATTTTAAGTAGCCTGGCTGGGCCATCCTGTTGCAACAAAGTGGGAAGGAACGGCAAGTGATTCACGCAACAGGATGGCCCAGCCAGGCTAAATTTGAAGACCATTGAGAACACTTTTGGTAGTAAACAAAAAACTATCGGAGTGGGACTTTAAACCAAGACTACAGATGCAGCACTGTCCTGTGGGCTTGCTGTGGGGACATTGAGTGTCCATGTGTCTATGCATGTGTTTGAAGTAGATAAATGGGTTATCGCATGTTCAGTCAACAACAATTTAGACATATATTGATCCCTTGTCCTGCCATCTGTCATCCAGTCTAACACGTGCAGCTAGAGAGGAGCTGTCGATTACAACCACCTGACTCAATACTGACCGGTCGTTACAAAACCCAGTCAGATGGAAAGAATATGCTGCTCACTGTTTCTACTTATCATGACTGGATGTGACTGTATTTCCAGCTTTGAAACAAATGTGTATATGTCATAGGAAGACTCAGTCTATACAAAGAGAAAAAAATATCAGTTATTTAGGGTTTAATTTGTTAATCAGGTCAGCTTCTGGTTCATATCAAACCTGCAACAAAAATCTAGGCATCTGGTTTAATAGAAATGTCACTTTGAAGTAGCATACAACAAAACTGCTAAAATCTTGTTTTAACCACCCCTGAAATATACAAAAAAAATAAATAAATAAATAAAAAAAAAGATCCCATTTACCCGCCAGCACTGAGACAATTTTGAATGTTTTTATCTCATCACACTTTATTTAGTGGGATAACCTTCTTACCTGCCAAAACCAAAAATCCAACCAGAAAACATAACCACCTCACTCTTGTTTGACCAGGGGTGGGCAATCGTGTGCCATGGAGGGCCGAGAGGCAGCAGGTTTTCTTTCCAACCCAAAACTCCACCAGGTGATTTCACTGATTACCTTACCTCCAAGCAGAGAGCAGGGACTAATCAGTGAAATCACCTGGTGGAGTTTTGGGTTGGAAAGAAAACCTGCAGCCTCTCGGCCCTCCATGGCACATGATTGCCCACCTCTGTGTTTGACCCTCTTGACATGAACAACAGTGTGTTGAAGATCTGATTTCTAAGACTTTACTGAGTAAACTTCAAAACTCTCCTTTGGTTTTCTCCCACCTCCATATCAGACCTGTTGTACTAGACCAGCAGACACGTACTCTGAAATCCTCAGTTAGAGGTCTTCTCCTGTAAGCTTCAAACACCAGACAGAAAACACAAGTGTTTATAGTGAGGGCTCAAAAACTCTGGAACAATCTGCCATCAGTGGAGTGATCAACTGAGTCTCTGACCTCTTTTAAATCCCTTTTAAGACATATTTCCATTCCCAAGACTTTCCTGATCTTACTTACACAATTCCTTTAAGAGAATTTAATTTCTATCAGATTTTTTCTAATGAGTATTACATCTCTTAAAGGGAGTTGTTTTTGATTTTTCTGCTCAGTCGGCACTGTGTAACTTGAACTTAAAACAGAGCTCTAAAGTTGGACTGTGCCCAAAAAGTTATAAAACCACAGTTCCAGACACACTGCATCATTCAGTTTCTGAACTTTAAGTATTTACCATGTCACAGTAGACAGAGATGCAGAAGCAGCAATGAGGCTGACTGTAAACCTCATAAATCTACAAACCTCTATTCAGTTGTTACAGTATATCACAAAAGTGAGTACACCCTTTAGATTTTTGCAAATATTCTGTTATATCCTTTCAGGGGATAACACTATCTTAATGAAACTTTGAAATAATGCAAAGTAGTCAGTGTGCTGCTTGAATAACAGTATAGATTTATTGTCAATTGAAAATTACTCTGTACACAGCTGTTAACGTCTAAACAGCTGGCAACAAAAATGAGTACACCCCGTAGTGAACATGTCTAAATTGTGCCCAAAGTGTCAATATTTTGTGTGACCACCATTGTTATCTAGCACTGCTTTAACCCTCCTGGGCATGGAATTCACCAGAGCTGCACAGGTTGCTTCTGGAATCTTCTTCCACTCCTCCATGACGACATCACGGAGCTCATGGATGTTGGACACCTTGCACTCCTCCACCTGCCTCTTGAGGATGCCCCACATGTGCTCAATTGGGTTTAGGTCTGGAGACATACTCGGCCAGTCCATCACTTTAACCTTCAGCTTCTTCAGCAAGGCTGTTGTCATCTTGGAGGTGTGTTTAGGGTCATTATCATGTTGGAAAACCGCCCTACGGCCCAGTTTCCGGAGAGAAGGGATCATGCTCTTCTGCAGGATGTCACAGTATATAGTGGAATTCATGTGTCCCTCAATGAACTGCAGCTCCCCAGTGCCGGCTGCACTCATGCAGCCCCAGACCATGATGCTGCCACCACCATGCTTGACTGTAGGCAAAACACATTTGTCTTGGTACTCCTCACCAGGGTGCCGCCACACACGCTGGACACCATCTGATCCAAACAGGTTTATTTTGGTCTCATCAGACCACAGGACATGGTTCCAGTAACTCATGTTCTTCGATTCATTGTCTTTAGCAAACTGTTTGCGGGCTTTCTTATGCAGCGGTTTCAGAAGAGGCTTCTGTCTGGGGCGACGGCCATACAAACCAATTTGATGCAGTGTGCGGCGTATGGTCTGGGCACTGACAGGCTGACATCCCACTTCTGCAACCTCTGCAGCAATGCTGGAAGCACTCACACGTCTATTTTTGGAAACCAACCTCTGGATATGACGCTGAGCACGTGGACTCAACTTCTTAGGTCGACCCTGGCGAGGCCTGTTGCGAGTGGAACCTGTCCTGGAAAACCGCTGTATGATCTTAGCCACTGTGCTGCAACTCATTTTCAGGATGTTGGCAATCTTCTTATAGCCAAGGCCATCTTTGTGAAGCGCAATAATCCTTTTTTTCAGCTGCTCAGAGAGTTCCTTGCCATGAGGTGCCATGTTGTCCAGCGTTCAGAGAGAATTGTGCCCAAAACACCAAATTTAACAGCCTTGCTTATCATTTACACCTGAATCCTTTTAACACTAACGAGTCACATGACACCAGGGCGGGAAAACAACATCATTGGGCACAATTAGGACATGTTCACTGCGGGGTGTACTCACTTTTGTTGCCAGCTGTTTAGACATTAACAGCTGTGTACTGAGTAATTTTCAAAGGACAATAAATCTATACTGTTATTCAAGCAGCACACTGACTACTTTAAGTTATATCAAAGTTTCAGTAGGATAATGTTATCCCCTGAAAGGATATAACAGAATATTTGCAAAAATCTAAAGGGTGTACTCACTTTTGTGATATACTGTAACATGACTTCTGTCTGGAGCTCATTATCCACAGAGATCTGGTCCTCTCCAAGGAGGACCAAATTTACAATACACTTTAAATCAATGGTATTACTTGAAATATTGAGCAAACATGTGCTGAACAGTGTTGCATGTCTGCCAGCTGGGCTTGGCAAAATTTTTACAGGCTGTACAAGAGAGTTATAAGCATATCTAGGTTATAAATATCGGGGTTATAAATAAGTGGGTTTTTAATCTTGGTCCGGATCTTGTTTGAAAAATTTGAAACAATCAGGGCTTAGTATTGAAACTGAATCAAATTAAGTGATGGAATTCTGGTCACATAACTCAAAGTACAGCTTTACAAAAAGACAGCAGCATACCAGTTAACAATTTTGGTTGCCAGTTATCAAGTTTGAAGTTAAAGAGCAACTGAAGAGAAAACTCTCTGGTCTATAGCTGAGCTGTAGGTTTTTACAATCTGAGAAATAATGTAGTGTGTAAATGAAAATAACAGTAGTTATCTGTACCTTCAGGTTAAGTCTTGGGTCCTCGATCAGTGCTCTAAGATCACTGATTTGTGGGATCCGGACAGTCTTTATAGCTGAATGCTGCTTTGCTCTACAGGTGTCACCAGCCAGAGTTAAATTGAGTAGTCCACACCTTTTCACACACTCCCCTTCATCAGTCAGGACCAGGTTCTGGGCCTCCTTGCCCAGAGTAGCCTCACATACAGGGGGTGTGCATAGGGACCGGCCTATAAACAGGGTACACACATCCATATTAGAAACGCATAAAGCATCACAAAAAGCATCACCCCTGCATTACGTATGTTAATAAGTGTTCCTTACTGGCTCCTCGTCTGAACAGTTTCTCTGTGGTGTGATTGGAGGGTCGAGGTCGTATGTAGCTCTCCAGATTGCTAAGCTGACAGTGGTACAGGGACCTCAGCAGCTCTCTGGCTGCTCCCAGCATCACCCTCCTCTCAGCCAGGTTCCTGCTCTGCGACAGGCGAGGGAGCAAAGCCAACTGGACGTGATACAATGGCTCGAAAAGGTAGAACACCTGCAATAAGAAAAATATCAAACTCTGTCTGTATTTACTTGCTGGGGATGGACCTTATTTGAAAGCATTGGTATTTTCCCCATCTAAAATCAAACTGTCAAATACTGCAAAATCAGTGTCCAGAGACGGTACTGATTCCTCTCCATGCTTCACGGATGTCGCTGTGTTGTAAATTCCTCTCTATCTTCTTTTTGTATTCCAGCTTTGCCATCTTTAGTCTCCTCTTAAACTCCTGTTGCACTTGTTTGAGTCATTCTTTGTCACCATCTTTAAAAGCTTTCTTTCTCTGGTTGAGGATTGCTTTCATGTCACTTGTGATCCAGGGTTTGTTGTTGGGGAAACTGCGAACAGTCTTTGTAGGTAAAACTGTGTCTCTACAGAAAATAATATACACCGTAAAACAGTCAGTCTGTCTGTCAATGTTTGTACTGTCTTCATCTTTTTCCAGCAGCACAGTCCAGTCTGTTGATTTAAAACAGTCCTTTAGAGCTTCACTGGCTTGAAGTGTCCATCTGCTGATTTTGACTTTTGTCACAGGCTGCCTAAGTACACAAAGTCTGTAACAGGTTTGCAGATAGACCAAGTTATGATCTGACCTGCCCAGTGGTGACAAGGCAGCAGCTCTGTAGGCTTCTTTGACAGCAGATCCAGGGTTTTGTTCTCTGGTAGGACAGTTCATAAACTGTGTAAATCCAGTCAGGTGAGAGGAGAGGGTGACATGGTTTAAGTCTCTTGATAGGCTATTATTATTAGTACCTCAGGATGTTGAGTCTGTAGCCTAGCATCAGTATGTTCCAAAAGATTGCACAGAAGTTCAGCATTGACTTTGGTGGGATGTAAACAAGTATTGTTATATATGACTGAATTCTCTTGGAACATAATATGGTCTAATGCTGCGTTCCAGTTACACTCGGAAGTTGGAATTTCCGAGCTCCGAGTCAGAAATTCATCTGGAACACACCCCTGAAGTCGGACAATCCTCACCAACCACAACTTGACGACAACGTCCTAATCCAAGATGCCAGCACAGTGCATCAACAGTAAAGAGTAACAGTGAAAGCTCCGGTAATGTATTATTTATTAGCACTTCTGTTTTGTTTTTGTGAATTTATATAAGTGGTATATGTTGTACTGCCCAACTTCTAACTGTGACCACAGTGCTATGGTGCTCATAAGAGTGAAATACTGTGTTGTGCGTTGTTTACAACTGGTATAGCTAACAACAACTAACAACAGCTAACAACAGCTGACAACTGTAAACAACAGCTAATAACGGCTAACAGTAGGTGTCCATTTTGGTTTTCCAACTTGTTAACTGGAATGCCATCAACTCGGGTGTGACGTCATTCCCAGCGCCGACATTCAACTTCCGAGGTAACTAGAACGCAGCATGTGAGCAACTGTCAACAGTTTAGTATCTGGACAATACAACTTCTTCTTGACAGTTTTGTGTGAAGGGTTACACCATCTCTGGTTAACAAATAAAGCCAGACGTCCGTCCTCCTTCTTGCCATTAGCTTTAGCTTCTCTGTCTGACCTTATGAGAGTGAAGCCAGGTAGATCCACACTGGAGTCTGAGTTGTTTTGATTCAACCAGGTTTCAGTAAAACACAGGAAACTGCACTCACAGGAAGCTCTCTCAGTCTTCAGTAATACCCCAAGCTCATCACTTTTGTTGGGCAGAGATTTGACGTTTCCCATGAAAAAAGGTTTAACCTTTTATGTACTTCATTTTAATTCTAGTTACCACTCACTCATAATAATTAACTTACAGTGGATATTAGTAAATTGCAGCACTGTGGTTGATTAGAACCTTGTTTGTCAGAGAAAAAAATGATAAGCTGAGTACTTGATGCTGTCCTGATGGTCCAGTGATTTAAGCAGAATATGCTTCCACTGCATGAATCCCACTTACAAACTTTCTTTGGTGTGCACTTTCTCCAGCTTTCCTCCAATGTCTATTATTTATGCACGTGTTGACATTTGGCTTTAATAGTTGTTAATGCATAAACCTCAAATCAATGGAGTTCTGTCAGTGACCATTGTGCAGCTTATTTTTAGCTCTGACATTCAGTGCAGCAAAACTCCCTCCATCCTGTTGAGGGATCTATATTGCTTGGAGCTGATTCAAGTCTACTTTAAGACTCAAAATCTGAACGATTTTATGTCAAAAGAAAGAAAAAAAGAATACATCACTTTAAAAGTCATGTCTACCTGCATCGCACTCTTACCTCTGGATGCTGGTTAAAAAGCTGACCTACAAAGGAGGATCCACTCCGTGTTGTAGCCAGAATCAGGATGTGAGTTCTGTTGTTGGCAGTAAATGAAGAGGAGAAGGAGAAGGAGGAGGAGGAGGAGGAGGAGGAGGCAGGGGAAGAGGGTGTCCGGATCTCATCACAGCCTCGGTCTGAGTTCTCAGCTGTCCCCTGGCCCAGTTTTGTCAGATCTTTACGGCTGCAGTTGACCGCATGGCTCCTGGGCACCAGACCCACAGAATACAGCAGGCTTAGAGGCTTAGTGGAAAAAGTGCGGATAACCGTGTACTGGATGGCTATGGATGCTAGTACGAGCAGCATCATGGACTTCCAGGAACATTGCATGGTGGCTGGATGAATTCATCAGGAAGCCACAACACAGTCTGCAGGATGAGAGGGCGAAGACAGAAAGAGGACAGGAGAAAGTTTGGTTGTTTGGTTGATATGCTCCCCTATGTGGGATATTGTCAGACCAATGGGTAAGCAGCCTGTCTATGTAGTATAATGCAAAGAAGTGGATGGTAAGTAGGATTTCTGAGCAACCCAAACCACTTACAATATGTCATCCCTATGTTTCAGAAACACCATCAATAACACAATTTAAATCTGCTGCGTGACTCTTCTTGAGGGCAACTTGACAAAGCATGAGTTTTTACCTTACACACCTGCAGAGAGGCCTGCTAGATACTGTGAAACTGCCACTCATCTGAGACAGATGGACAGGCATTCTGCAGCTGAAATAAAGCGTTGATATGGCTGGTGCCCATCCAAGAAATCCTGGCAGCAATCCAATCATCAAACTGGTCACTATTACACCTCAAGTAGCAGCAGAAAAATGAATCCTGACACAGCTATGGGAGAATATGGTTCATTTACTCGGGCTGAGCTGCATTTGCCTCTAGATTATGTTTTGAATTTAGATAGTGTGGGTGAAATATTAAAATCCGGTAGGCCTACTTTTTCACACTGCCTCGAACGTATGCTGGCATCTAAAAGTGTAGACCCTGAATAAACGATAAAAGCCCATTCTAATTTAGACCAATGGGGAGACCAGGGAGGGTTGTAACATGGGGGTGAGTCGTAACACCACCATTTCACCAATCAGGGAGAACAGGAGTCCAAGAGTTAATCCATCCTCTTCTTAGTTTTGTATGGTGATTGTCGAGGCTGTAGACAGGTTTATCTTGTTTGTGCAGATAAAAAAAAAATCTCTTTATGGTACGAAAGATTTTTTTTTCTCTGTATTTGTACTTTTGCAAAAGAGTAATTGTTTTTTTACTGAAGTAAACCTCTTCATGAACATATCAAATGGTGACGCCTCTGTTTTTGAATGTTTGGGCTATTTGTTATTTACTCCAGCACGTGATATAACCTACACTGCAAGTGGGGTCCTTTGAAACTAATGAACACCCTGTTTTTGACATCAGCTCATGAGCTTTATGCTTAACTTGCAAAGGATTGAATTGGTTTCTTTTGTGGTAAACAAATGTGAGAACTTAGTGTAAAAATTAAGGCTGAAACCTTCAGTGAGTTACAGGTGCTGAAGGAAAAAGTGTGACGACCACCCCCGGTCTCTGATATGTTGATCTGTATTTCTTAATTCTGCATGCAAGTGCAGTTGGGAAATATCAGCCATATTCAGAGACAAAGTCAGTAAAATAATACATCATATATATCATAAATTACTCACATTATTTGTTTTATTACATTTTGAAGTCCACCAAAAGCAAAGTGGTTACTAGAAGGCTAAACCAACTCTGAGACAACACTGGTACCAGCTCAGAGCTTGGTGTGGGGCCTCTTGGGGTAAAATGGGATGACATTAAGATGTCTGAGTTCACACTTTTAAGTATTTTTGGAATTAAGTAGGCCCAACCGTCAAAATATCCAAGCTGTCTATGTTTAGACCTGGCATGGTTAAACAGGGGTATTTACAATTGTTATCATTATAATTGGATTAAAAATATATAGTTTTTTTTTTTTACTTACTATGATGTTGACCATGATAAAACAGTCTATCTGAATAACAAGAATTTTTTTTCTTCTTGAACTTTAAATTCATGGGATAAAAAAATATTCTTTGACTTTTATCTTGGGATTATAACAGAATAAATAGCCTACTCAAAAACATATTAAAAAAAAAATCTTTTTTCCTCAACTGTCTCCCTCTTAGCCTATCATATTAACTAGTGTATTTTCATTAGGCTACTCGTTTTTTTGCCGCTGTGTCAGTCAATGTAGGCTTCACATTTGTCGCCAGATATACACCGTAAACGCTGAATATTTGACACTTCAGCTAAACCTTGGAGTCCATCGGTGAGCCGTATCCTTATTACCTCTCATTCAACAATGCCGCTAAATATTAGCTATACCGTCCACTGTGACACAGCGCGAGCCTGTTATGCGCGTGCCGTCATTCCCACCTCATCTACCGGGCTGCTTCATGCCCGTTCACCGGCGACTCTCACCCCTCCTCTCCGGGCCTGACGATGCGTTTATTTACCTCTTTTTTGTGTCTTTGCCGTCAGCGGGAGGCGGCGGGCTGACCGAGGAGGAGACATGATGCTGCGATGACCGGGGGCTCCACCGCTGTTATTCCGTCTGTGGTTTTCACAGAAAGGAGGACACGACAACCAAATTATTATAATCCGGTGCAGTCTATTGATGAGCGACAGTCACATTTACAATGAACTGAACGAGTGCATGAAGCGTGATAAGCTGAAGAAAACAGGTCCGATACCTTTCCATATCTGTCTCCACCTCGCTTCATCATCATCATCAGTCTCTCTCTCTCTCTCTCTCTCTCTCTCACCCACTCTCTCTCCCCCTCCGCCTGTCATCCTCAATGATTCACAGGTCTAGATCAAAACAGTAGGCTACAGACATGCAGGGTTGTTTTCAGGATACAAAGCTAAATTTCATCTCTTTGGGTAAAACCATAGGCTATGTGGCATCACTTAGAATACAGAGACAAATGATTAAAGCTCTTGTGGGGATATTTTCGCTGCTGATGAAATGGTCTCAGTTGAATAGCCTACTGGAGCTTTTGTAACCATCAAAAGCTAATGAGACCATCATTAAGAGACTAGATAGGCCCACAGACACATTTAATGCACTGTTGGTGTCAGACTAGGAGATTAAAAGCACTACTGTGAGAGCTTTCAGCGCTGTTTACTCTAAAGATGTTTTTACAGGCTGTTTGCTTCAGTCAAAACAGACTCAAGTCTGTTTTTAAAGTTAGTGCAGTTTGTTTGCACTGATGTGAAAGCTCTCAATAGAATTCAGTTTTAAACCAAACAATCATACCGTGGCTGCTTTAAAAAAGTGGGTCTTGGTTTGCTAAAACTCTACCATGCTTCATTGTAATAAAAACATGAACCGGTCTAACCTCACTGCAGCAAGCGTCATGTTTATCTGGATTTCACCCACTAATATATGAGCTGTTTTTTTTTTCTTTTCTCATTTTGGAAACCAAATAAACAATAGAGCTAATAAGAGACAAATTTCCCCGAATCAATAAATTCTTGGCTAAGATCAGACATATGTGCTGACAATGGTTTTCTTTGTTTTAGTAAAATAACAGTAATACTGCTGCAGAAAGAGGACAAAGCAAGAAGGCAGGCAGGGGATATGAGCCAAAAAATTGAGGCCAAAATTAAAGATCCAAGGATCCTAAACGTGGAAGGTGCGATTTCCATCTCAGCACCTTGTTTGGAAACAAGTCAAAGCACTTCTTTACTGTCACCTGGATTTAACTGAAAACCAGCCAATTCATGCAGTAATTCATGCAGTATGAGGCTCTTGTTTGGTGTGACTCACACACACTGTATAACACCTTGATATTGTGTTGGGGATATCACCTGTCTGTTTCTGAAGCAGAGTTTTGAAGCCTATAGGTGGCGGCCCCCACATTCGAAATGTTGGCTCAACCTAACCTTTGGTCAACCTAAACCGAAGGCAAGCTTTTATCCTCCTCCCATGAATATAAGCTAAAGCTAGAATTTGCTTATCTGTCAGTCAAATCAGCTGTGCCTTTAATTTACCAATTTTAACCTTGATAACTTTAAAACCAATGTGCTACAAAAAAGTTTCATCCACTGTACCATGCGTGCTGTTGAAGCCCTGAGCTGTACAGACCAAAACTGTTTTCTGAACCAGACTGTTAAGGTGTTTATCTTTGCTCTTGAGCTGGCCTTTTCAAGCTTAGTGTGTACGTGGTTTCTGGTGTTTCTGCAGCCAGCCTCAAGTGAGCACCAAGGGACTGTAGCACTTCCACATTGGCAACATTTCTCAAGACTGAAGACTGCCACTTGGTGACACATCAAGACACTTGTTCTTAGCATTTACACAAGGTAAGCCAACAATTATCTTATGAGGAGAACAAGTCCTAAGTTTCACTGTAGTGTAGCCATTGACTGTGTGAAGAATGGAGAGTGTCACTCAATGACCTCCCATTTTAAGACATGCCAATCAGTTGACTTAAAGCTTGTATATTCTTTGCATTCATTTGATACAATTTTGAGCAAAAGAATTTCCAAAAGTCACGAAGTAAAAGCAAAAATTACTGATTTGAAAAAGTTCACCCAAAATACAAATACAAGCAAAGGCTGGTCAATAGTTAACTAAAGTAAATTCAATTAATGTAATTTCCATCTCTGTCTGGCATAAAAAAACTATTCAAACTGTGAACGTAATTAAACAACGAACTGAACTTTTTAAATTTATTTTTGTATTTATTATTATTATTATTATTATTATTATTATTATTATTATTATTAGTAGTATTAGTATAAGTATTAGTAGTAGTAGTAGTAGTAGTAGTAGTAGTAGTAGTAGTAGTAGCAGTAGTATCCCCTCCAAAATGGGAAAGGACACTGAAAAAAATGCATGTTAAGAAAAGTATTGACAGTTTCGAAAGCTTTTATTTTGAAAGGTGAGGGTTAAGTGTTTCCGGATTAAGTTTCGTATGGTAGCCGACAAAATAGTATTTCCGGTGTGAAGACTTTACTGTAACGCGCTGCAGAGGATATTTACTCGGTGGATCCCTGAAAGCTTTTAGTGAAACGACATTTTGATGAAGTTTCTTTATATTTGTCGCGATGTCTCCTGTGAGTCCTCCCCCGTTTGCTCGCTTAAGTAGTTAACTTATTTTCTCTGAATGAAGCGGTCAGACCCGTCTCTGGATGTGTGTGTTTTTGTGAGCATAATTTAAGTTAAAGCGAAGAAAAGACCTGAATTGAGTTTCAGAAATGTCTTCAGTGGAGATGCTCCGAGCTTTGGTGGTTCAGAGACAAAGCTTGGCTGCTGAGGAGATCTGTGAGCTGTTTAAGAGGACCTTATCAGAGCAAAGAGATGGAGGATTTTCTGCAGGAAAGGAAAACCTTCAAACCAGAGGAGTAGACTCACATCTGACCACTACAGCTCCATCTAACAGTGCAGGTAATCCTTCAGAAAGTTACTGGCACTCAGACATGATGTGTTGTATTGTTCAACCCTAAACACTAAAACATCAAGGTACACAAGGACATACTTGTCTATTATCTCTTTATTTTTTACTTATTTTACCTATTTATCGCTTTATTTTTATTCATTTTATCTATTATTTATCTCCTCTTTTTACTTTTTTTGCACTGGAGTACTGTGACAAAAAGCAAATTCCCCCTAGGGATTATTAAAGTATTTCTGATTCTGATTCTCTGTACACCTGCAAGTGCAGCCATCATTTTTGCATACTTTTTCAGCCATATGCATTTTCCCTTTAACAACTATTACAGCCCGTTTTGCATGTGCAACATAATGGAGTGAATCCAGAGCTTTTTAGTAATTCAGAACCACTTACAGTTTTTCTTAGTCGCTTTGGTGCATTTCTCAGATCAGAATGAAAGTTCTCACAACTCTTAGTTCAATCCCCACAATATTGAGTCATTTGTGCACATTGTCATAGCAGTTTCTCATTCCTCTGAACAAATTGCAAATGCTCTTGGACATGTATCAGTTACTTTCGTACAATTCTCTGCTGTTTTATAACTTTATTATTTGCTTCTGTCATGTGAGTCAAAATGAAACATACTTTTGAATGCTGAATAGTCATTCCCTATAAAACTAATAGTCCTCATTTCATTGCTTGAGTCATTACACACAAAATTGTTGAACTAGTTCTCAAAATCTGTTAAGCCAATTCACTAAATTTCTTAATCTTTTTTCCTGTAAATGTCTCCTAAATTGAACAATTTCTCTCAGGTTGACCCTCAGCTTTAAATCATAAGGAGGTGTATGAAGCATTAGTTGTAACCAATGACAAGTCTCTCAGAGCTGAATCCCATGAACTCTCACTTGGCACTTGTACTTGTACTATTTCTACAATTCTGTGACACACAATTGGAAGGTCAGCGACAGCGTCGTGGAGGAGGTGTGAGAATGCGGGGAGAAAGGGGAAGGGGACAAAACCGGGGCAGAGAAAGAAGAGGTGAAGTATATAGGCAAATCTCTGATGAAATTAGGGCTACACTTGTGGACCATGTTGTCAATCACGGCCTCATAATGGCTGAGGCTGGTCGACGGGTGCAACCAAATGTAGGAAGAACCACTGTGAATCTTATATTTGTTCTAAATAAGTGATTGTGAATTTTTTTCTTTTTTTTGCACAATGCTGTAGAGTTGCAAAGAGCATATGCAGTAAATATGTGAAACATACATGCGTCTTGTATTCAGTTACCTCACTAAATACAATAAATCAAATGGCTGTACAGGTAGTGTAAAGGGCGGTCTTGAGGATTTTCAGGTAGTGTCACTAAGGTCTGACTTTCTTGCACTGGAAAACACAGAGATAGTGAACTATCATAATAAAAACCTGACAAATCCATTTGACTGTCGTGTTCATAATCAGTGATGTTGGAACTAATTATTTTGATGACACAGACACTTTCATTGACATGAATATTTGCTTTTGAGGAATGAACTATTCATTTTGAGAAAGTGACGCACTTTTGCAGGTTATCCACTAGAGTTTGCAGTTTGTACTGATTGTTCTGAGAAACGCACCAACTGTTGTGCAAATGTTCATACTGATGTGAGAAATGCACCAAAGCGACTGAGAAAAACTGTAATATCAGGGCAACACAGTTCATTTCAGTCTCAACGTTATCAAAAGAATAACACAATTTTAATGTATTTCCAACGTCTAGGTTTAGAAATACTGTGTTTCCTTTTCAATAAGAGGTAATAGGTTCATTGTGTTTTAGCTCTCTTTATTTTGGCCCTTTTTTCCAGAGATCCAGAAGGTGATTGTGGGTGACCAGGTTCCTTTTAAGCGGCTGGAGTGGAGCCCACATGCCTGTCAGGAGGCACCAGAGTCCCATCACATTAAAGAGGAACAGGAAGAACTCCAGAGCAATCAACAGAACAAGCAACTCCCTGTGAGGAGTGAAGACGATGAAGAGAAAACGCAGCCATCACACCAAGAGAGAGCTGTTAAAGAGATAAAAACAGAAGCTGATGAGGAGGACTGTGAAGAATCAGAGGTGACCAAAAGGATGAGAGTGTTAGTGAAGCAACGACTGACTGCAGCCGTTGAGGAAATATTTGGATTGTTTGAAACGAGCTTAGCAGAGTACGAGGAGAAGATTAGGGGATTTCAGAAGATGCTGGAAAAGGCTGGGGTCCAGGTCAACAATGCAGGTTTGTGAAGTTTTTCAAAAAGAAGTTACAGATTTGTGTCACTTCAACTTAATTTTTTGCATATGTTCAGGGACACCCCCCAAAAAGTTCATAATTCAAATGCCCAGTTTAGAAAATGTGCCTTTTTAAAAGTTGTGACATTAAAAACAACATTTCGGTTGTTCCTTGTGGTTTTTAAATCTGGATAGTTAGTCTGCCTTAGTCCCCCTGAAATCTATGCTCTATCATAATGAAGGGAAAAATTCAGTGATTGACCAGAAAAATATAAGACATAGGGCTCTATTTTCGGGGCGGCGAGCCCCGCGCAGTTGTATTTTCGTCTGGCGGAGCCCAGCGTAAGGCCAGTTTGGTATTTTTGTGGACTGAGCCGCACAGATGCGAGCCGAGATCCGCCAAGCTGGGCGTGGTGGCGTGGCAGGGGGAGGTGTCGACAGAATCAGCAGGCGCAGTGACATTTTCGTGCTCGCCACCGGCGTGTAAAGTGCGCTGAAAGCTCGCTGATTCAAACCTGGTCAGCTTTCAGTGCAAGGCGGAACGCAGCTGGTCCAGTAGTATTTTGGTAGACCGGCGGCGTATCGACATACGTCACTGATGCCTCACCGGCAGGTTTCCACAGTGTCAGGCACATTTCAGTGCAATAAATAATCATCATCAACTATTAATCTGAGTCAGCACATACATTTAGATCTATATTGATATATTCTGATCTATATGTGATCTGATGAGCGCGTTTGGCACGCGTTTGGACACACAACCTGACCGAATCAACACAGCTGAAACCGCATCAAATTAAATTAAATATCTAGTAAATATACACACATGATGAAGTTAACAAGATATGTAATTCATCTCCCTCCTTTTCTTTCTTCCTCTTCCTCTTATTTCTCGCACAGCTCGACCTGGACACGTCTCCGTGTCCTCTGTTCGTCTTGCTGCTGCTGCGGCTGAACAGATGATTTGTTTCAGTGCTCAGATGCGTGATCTACTTTAAGCCGACATACGGATATTATAATATTCAGTTTTGTGAGCCAAATTTATTTTATATGCCAACATCTATGAAAGAAAGAGCCAGGCCACGGAGCGTGATGCGTCATTTACGCACAGATGGTTCCGATTTTAATGCCATTTTTGGAGTTTATGTTGTGATCTGTGCGCTCAACCCACCTTTGTCACGTGAGGTTTGAATATATGCAACTTTATGTGAGTGTCTTTATTTGTGGAAAAGGGTGTTTGTCTTACCACTGGGTCCAACATTACACACACCAAATCCATCTGTGCTTATATGAGAGGGTGTGGAGGACACTTGTTGAGGAGCTGCCCTCTGTCGCCATCTTGTGGCATTACTGTCTTAAGACATCTCTTGATCTCTTTGACTATTTCATGAAAATAGTAATACACCTCGCCTGTGGCGGATTTAAAGGCAAGGAGAGGAGCTTATGTGATTGGTGAAAACAGGTCTCGGCTGTGTTAAACCCACTACACGCCCTGTCTCCTCCCCATCTACGACTTATGGTGCTGGGAGGAGCTGAGTTAGGGAGGGGGGATACTTACGCCGGGCTGCGCGGCTCACCAAAATACCAAAATGTGCTTTGGAACGCCTTGTCAGCGCGGCGGACCTGACTGACGCTGCGCTTGCGGCACATCTCCGGCGAGGCACCAAAATAGAGCCCTGAGGCTTGAATGTTTAAATCTGGAACACAGCTGATGTAATGAAGCTGACAAAGTCTTTTGGTGTGACACTGAACAGAAGATAAAAGTAACAAATGGCTTGTTATCAAGCCATAGCTAAGAATTGATTTATTTACTGGTGCAGTTATTAACATTGTATCAAAATGTTACTTGATGGGGAGACAATTTTGAAGTCAAGAGTGTTGGCTCTCACTGAGTAGATGGCGCGCAAATCTTCTGCTCTGCCTCCCTCTTTCGACTGGGCAGCGTTCACACACAGTGCACAACTTTACTGAGAAATTCAGCCTTCGTCGATGTACAGACACGGTAAGAAACATTAAAGCATTTTTATGACATTTTTAACGCATGTTCAATGACCAACAGCTGTGTTGAAGTATTAGTTTAAGGTCATTTAATAAGAATTACAGATTTGAAGACAATGCTAACACTAGCAGTCTGTTTGAATGAGTCATGGGCTATATCCCCTAACTTTGTTTTATGACCGAGTTCAACAGTTTTGTGGATAATGTTAACACTAGCAATCTATGCAGTCTCCCCAAGCTATTCTGCACATTCTCTTATTGCTCTTTATCACATAACCGAGTTCTGTAATGTACTACAGCTTTGTGGCTAATGCTAACGGCTAGTGGCGACGCTAGCAATGCTAGCTTGAGTTACTGAACTCCAGTTTTTACTTCAGCGCCCTGTTTTGAACTTATAAGCATAATAGATGATTTTAGTGTTGTGAAAATGAAACGTGGGTCGGCTTGTAACCGTTTTATTGTGATAGTTTCATTCGTTATCTTGTTTTAATTCAATGTACTTTTAAAGATAGTGAATGCAGTCAGAATGCGGGCAAATTTTGGCGCCAATATAGCAGCTTTAGGGGAGGGCAATCGCCATTCCGACATCCCGGCATTCCGACATTGGTGTCTAATTGTCGGAGTGCCGGTATGTTACCATGCTATCAAACGTCCCGTCATTCCGACAGCTCAGTAAAAAAGAAATCATGTCTGCACAACTAACATCAGCCAATACAGAGATGATTGCCAATATATTGTGCATCCCTAGTATTTTTCTATATTTTGTAACAATTAATTGTCTTTTTGCTGTTTTCCAGCTTTGAAAATGGAAGCAAGTGAGCCTCCCTCACTTGTCACTTGTCTCCTAGATGGCAAAGAGATCTGGAAAAAGGTCTTCCACCTCAACACCACTACAGAAATTCTGGAAACCGCCAAGCACTCATTGAATTGCACAGCAGCATTAGATCGACTACTTGTTTTTAATACTTGCTTTGAGGTCTTCGTTGATACTGACGTAGGGGGCAATGTATCACAAATGGACAAATATCAAATTCTGCTCAAGTCAATGAAGCCAGAGGATGACCAACAGAAGCAGCAGGTATGTATGCATATCAAATGGTAGCCTGTGTTTTGGCTTAAAGGGATAGTTTGGTTTGTTTTAAGTGGGATTGGTCACACCAACTCATTCAATGTTTTCTTTCTTTTCATGACTGCAGTTATTTGACCACAAAGGCCTGATTCGTGCAGTCATGAAAAGAAAGAAAACGCATTGAATTACATGGTTTGTCAAAACTTTTGGTCTGTACTTTTGTATGTCTGTCTAGTATATGTCAGGATGAGCAATATATTATATTTAATCAGTGATATTACTTTCTTTTTAAGGCTCAACTATCGCCTCAGAGACAAAGTACAAATGCACCTGGTCCTAGTGCTCTAAGTGGGGTATGTATGTGTCTGGGAGATGTACTACCTAGTTTCAGATATTGAGCTAATCAGTGCAAAACATCAAAGAATTATGAACACCATTGATTTATTTTTGCTCATGGAAGCATCATTTTGGATTTTAGTGTGATAAGCTACTTTTGTACACGTTGTTTTGATTTACATATCTCTTTTTTTTTTTCTTTATTCTTTTCTAAGGATCAACCATCGACTCATGATGCACCTGGTCCTAGTGGTCTTTGGGAGGTATGTGTCTGAAAGAGATGCATAGAGACAGTAATATCACATGGGGCTGATAACAGTACGAAACAGTATTGCATCACTGTATATGCCAACACAAAATGTCTGTTTATTTTGATGCTTTATTACAGTACAGATTCATTGCTTCAAGATAGTATTACATAACTTCAGCAGCCGCTTCTATAAAATGAAGCATTAATTTCAGACACATTTACAAGGTAGACAGAACGTAAATAGAAGAAGCAACAATCCAATCTGGTGGGCCAAGAATGCTATGACGTCTGTGGACGTCTTTAATTTGGCATTCACACAATGAAGTCTTAAGGGGAACACTGTGAATGCACCATGTTATGATTTGATTTATTCACTCTTACACCCACTTTGTATAGGTCAAGGGTAGGCTAATGCAAGCTTTGGGGTTTTCCCCTTTCTCAAAACACATTGGGATATGGTCTGTAACTCTCAGTACTGGGAGTCTTTTGGGTTTAATCCCTGTGCTCATGGAAGTGCACCAAACATTTTGTGCCTGATTGATTAGGTGCAGGCTTTCTTGGTATGACTGAACATATAATTTTAGCATTGCTCTTGTTCAAGCAGAGACATTTTTTTCTTTTTAAAGGCTGGACAGCTGAATGCCGCTGCAGCTCATCAATCGCAGGTATGTGTATGGAGTGCAACAGTAAGTTCTTCCTTCAGGTCCTTTATATAATGTGTTTTAAGGCTTGAACCTAGCCAACACAACAATAAAAATATCAGGGATGTTTTCCCATTGTTATCGTTTGTTTTTGCTTATTATTGTTTTACGGTTGCTCAGGATATTTGAATACCAGGGGTCTTCAGCGTTTTCAGGCCAGCGACCCCTTAGCCCCCTCTATGAACTTCTTTGCCAAACATAGCTGATCTACAAGTTGGCAACACCTCGCAGCCCAAGGCGTTGTAAGCTTGTAGATCAGCTATTTTTGTCTAAGCTTTCACTCAGAATAGAGATGCTAGAGTTCAACTAGTTAATGATGAAAGATTTGGTGCCCCCCTGTATTAACTCTGCTCTGTCCTAGAACGGTCAAGGACATTTTACACAACACTTTGATGCAGCCAGTCTGAGTGCACTCATTGAGTGCAAAGCGCCAGCGATCCAAGCTGAATATGAGAAATCAGGAACACTCTCCCTGACATCCAGAAAGCAGCTTGTGAGAATAAGTGTCAGTGATCTGGTGGAGCGAAGAGGATTGTGAGTTCATTCTTCATTTCTTCCGCATAAAATAAAAGGATTCGATTGGTTTGATAGAAAAGCGATATCTTTCAGTAGTTAATACATCTGAGATGTGCCATTTAACGCAGAAAGTATAATGAAATGTGACTTTACGTGAACGGCTGGTTTACAAGGTTAAGATACTGGGACGTGTAGTGTTTTTGGCATAAAGGAGTCACTCAAGATGTTTTACAAAGACTTTAACTCTTAGGAAAGCAAAAAGTATGAAAGTTATTGACTGCAGTGTACAAGTTAAGTTGTCAAAACTGTCCAGCATCCTATCATAAATTGACGTTTATCCATGTATATTTTTCTAAATCTTTTTTTCCTTTTCCTTTTTCCTTTCAGTTACCCTGGAAACCCTGACAAGGTGATGTTGGCGAAAAGCATAACAACAGTCTTCCCATCACTGGCGATCAAGATGGATGGAGAGAATGAAGGATTTGTAAGTGCAAACTGATGTGAATATAACTTAAATAGTAATATTCCCTGCTTGTAAATTTTACTGTGAGCTACAGACATAGACTGTATATAGAATGGACAGAGTCTGCCTCCTTGCTGGGTGAAGCTTCTCTGAGAACAGCACCCTCTGATGGTGGGCTGCAGTATAGGTCATAAATCCCGCCTTCGCCAGCAAAGCTTATGGGACTGTGGACAAACTTTAGAAATTTATAACACAGAACATACATTTTTCTCCCCCCTGCTTGTGATGTTGACATGTAGTTACAGTAAGACTGGTTTGTGCCCAAGTCCTTTTTTTTCTGTGAAGCTCCATTTTTAAAAGTTATTAGGGGGTTCATGTTTTCTATGATTGACACCTGGTACAGCCTATGGGCGTTCAGGGATTGCGTAGCTCTCCCGGGGGGGATACGCTGTTTGAGCCGAGCGTCATCACAGGGACTCTCGGCGACTGCGCGGCCGGATGCGTGCATCGCTACTGCGCAGCTCTGGTTTCAAGGAAGTGGAGAAAAACCCGGAATTACCGAGAGCTTTTTGGCTTCGAATCCGTATACAGGCGGAAGGCGGAACCAGGTTGTCCATAGTATATACAGTCTATGGCTACAGTCGTGAAGTTATCACTGTAGAATGGAGACTAATTGTACAACCTTCCTACATAGCTTTCCTATTGTCCCACCCTGTCTAAAATAAGAAGTTGTAATAAAGTGATTAATAAGATATGATTCTGGCCAGTAGTCTGGCAGAGTTATCCTTAAATAATTTATTTTATTCAACTGTGATTCAGGAGCACTTCTTTGACCCAGTGTACCACAATGGATTCATCGAAATAAGACTGCGCAACCTACGGAGAACACTTCATGGGGACCAACGTCGCTATTCCAAGCGGCCGAGGTCCAGTGGTCCTTCTGCACCTGCACCCACTGTAATTACGGTAACATTGGATATGTCTACCGGGGAAGAGTCCGTCATGGAGTGGATAACTGCAACCAAGAGGCTGAGACCAACTCCTGAGAATGCCACAGCCATCAAAAAGGGTATGGATGAAACCTACGCCCACCGAAGAATGTGGATCAATGGACAGTCACCAACAGTTGAAGAGATCTTTGAGCAGTACCCTCAGTTCATAGATATGCCATACTTGGTAAGTATATTGTATACTATTTTGCAGCTACAGATCTGGAGCCTATAGACAACAGATAATACTAATATTGCTGTATTGAACAAAAGAATATTCAAAGAAGTGCTGTGAAACGAATGGTATCCACCTGTTTCCATGGGAATTTACTTTTAAGGTGTGTGGGACACATCCGTAGTCTAACCAATAAGCATCAGCTAAATCGCACAATGCAGCTGTTTGATGCAGCTTTAATTATAACCGTCTATAACAGCTTTCCAGTGCCGTTACTTGTGGCGAACACCTTGTTGCTTGAGTTGACGCATGCCCGTAGGTGGAATAATGTCACATGTCACACCGTCCATCTTCTGTTGTTTTTGATTTATTTACTCATTCATTATTTTATGTAAGACAAGACACACAACCACTTGACACGGTCAAAAAACTGTTCGGCTTCCCAGGTGTGCGCACCTGTCCTAATCCACCCACCTATTAAATAGACAGGCACAATAGCACCATCTAGTGGCACAAAAAATACATAACAATAAACCGCAAAATCCCAATCGAGCTCCTACACCGTCATTGCCGTACAACCACTGCGCAATGCACAATGGGATACTGGAAACTTCTTTATAGGTTGCAGACTTATAGAGAAAAGGATTCCAAAGCAAGGCAACAGGTTGTCAACCTGCTTTGTTCCCCTAAAGATGGAGTGCCTTGGAATCCTTTTTTCTGTAAGTCTGCAACCTATACCATTAGAATTTAGCAGCACTTAGAATATGTTTTGTTCATTATGCCTACCTGTGCCACCAAAAGAGCACCTGTCTAGAGCAATCTGATCCCCGCTGATCTGATTTTTTTTCTTCTTTTTTCTACAATTGCTTTATCTGCTACTTCTCCAGTTTCATACAGAGTTCGCCAAAATGTTCCCAGGGAAGGAAGACCTCTTCCTTTGAAAATGGGAAGGACAAATCGTTCACAAACTACTGAAAGTGGCTGCAGTCGAAAAAGATCCCAGTGCTCTGTCAGCTGGTGAGGAGAGTGAAGGTAAGTTACTGTACATCAAATAGGGTAATTTGGAGTAAAATTCTCATTAAGGCTGAACCATTTACAAAAACATATATGCTGTTAATTGTATTGATCTCAATTCCCCCGACACAGCCTTTTTCTAATGTGGTAATTCATGGGATAACATTTTTGGGGAGTCTGCATCAGTAATGGTGTGTATTTTCCATTTTGTTTTGTGTCCTGCTCAGAGTCCCGTTCCTTCAGAGCACTTCAGATTCTCGCACATCACCTACCTCCTACTGCATCAGGGAGGGCCAAAGGCTCAACCAAAATCAGTGTGAAATCAGCTCTGTCTTTCATGTTGGACATCAAACCGGTAGGAAAGCTGCTGTTGTCATACGAATCTCCCAAACCTTTTCTCTGTCTCTGTCTCCGTCCTGGGTACTGATTTCAGTCTTGAGGATTACATGTGCCATGTTTTAAAATCAAAAATCATACTTTGGGACATTGTCTGAATTCTTGTTTTTTTAAGTATTTGGGCATTTATTTCGATATGTTAGCAGCTGAGAAAATCAAAAGCGGAATCTATTTTTAATGTGACTTCCCTCAAATTTGGTTATTTTAGCCTAATTCTGAAGCTGTGCTAAAAATATTGTGATGATGTGTTTTAGTGTCATCTCCTGGCGATTACCATAGACTGTATAAAGAATGGACAGCGTCTGCCTCCACGCTGGGTGAAGCCACTCCGAGAACAGCAGCCTCTGATGGTGGGCTGCAGTATAGGTCATTAATCCTGCCTCCGCCAGCAAAGCTTATGGGACTGTGGACAAACTTTGGAAATTTATTACACAGGACATAAATTTTTCTCCCCCCGGTTGTGATGTTGACATATAGTTATTGTAAGATTGGTTTGTGCCCAAGTCCTCTTTTTTCTGTTCAGCTCCGTTTTTATAAGTTATTAGGGGGTTCATGTTTTCTATGATTGACACCTGGTACAGCCTATGGGCGTTCAGGGATTGCGTAGATCTCCCGGGGGATACGCTGTTTGAGCCGAGCGTCATCACAGGGACTCTCGGCGACTGCGCGGCCGAATGCGCGCATCGCTACTGCGCAGCTCTGGTTTCAAGGAAGTGGAGAAAAACCCGGAATTACCGAGAGCCTTTTGGCTTCAAATCCGTATACAGGCGGAAGGCGGAAGCAGGTTGTCCATAGTATATACAGTCTATGGCGAATACAAAGTGGTTTATCACGAGAACCGTTTGTTCGATTGAAACTGCCAAGTCGGCAGTGCTTGTGAAAGATTATGAAACAAATGTTGATACATTGCCATGCACCTATTTGATATACATGTGTACTTATTTTCCTAGACTGGAACGAGCATCCTCAGCCTCGTGGACTCACCTGATGCAGAAGTGGATGCCATCCAGCCGAAGCTTGTGTGTTTAGGACACCCCAGCACAACGGCCCAATACATCATAGTGGCTAAGAACGACAAAGTTACCATCCCACTTCCAGATGAAGGTTTGGCCTGCGCCCTGGACAAGCTGTTCAAAGTGTACTGGGTTTGCAATCTCTCATATCCTGCCCCACTGGCCTCAGTCTATGCTTTCTTGGAGCATATTTACAGCATAGCCGTACCAGGTACAAAGAGATCAAAAGTTGTTGAGCTTCTTGCGAAACTCCAGGCAATTTAAGTAACTAGATCTACCATGTACATCTGTCCCAAATGCAAGAAAAAGGTTTCAGAACATGTAAGGGCACTTATAAGACATCTTAGGCAAGTCCATGCAATTTCAGATGGACAGGATTATACAATTGTATGCAGTCAAAATCACTGTCAAAGGACTTACCAATAATTAAATTCCTATACTAAACATCTAAATAGAGCTCACCCTCTTGTTGCAAACCCAGAACACACTGAACACGTCGTCCATGTCAGTAACAAGTCAGTTGGTGATGATGGAGAAACATCCTCTGCAGAAACTAATTTGGACAGCGACACTCCAATGGATGATCATTGTTTGTCAGACCACCGTGACACCGCAGCTTCATTTGTTGCCAAAATGTACTCTGCTTCAAATTCCACCTTGACAGATGTTCAAAAAAGCATCATATGCACGCAAGAGCTTCTGGATAACACTCTGGCTTCTTTAAAGAATAAAACAACAGCTTTGCTTAACAGCCATTCTATACCGAATGATGAAGCAGGTGTCCAATCTCTAATGCAGGATTTTGAAAATGCTCACAGCATGTTTTCAGATAGATACCCCCTACAAAACGTGCAACTATTTTTCTGAAAAACACTCACTTGTCAAGCCCACAGAAATCTTCTTGGGGCACAGAGGTGACACAGCAAGAAGGATGGGTAAAGTTAATCAAGTAATGGCAGCAGACACGTGCCAGTATATATCCATTATTGACAACATACACTCACTGGCCACTTTATTAGGTACACCATGCTAGTAACGGGTTGGACCCCCTTTTGCCTTCAGAACTGCCTCAATTCTTCGTGGCATAGATTCAACAAGATGCTGGAAGCATTCCTCAGAGAGCTTGGTCCATATTGACATGATGGCATCACACAGTTGCCGCAGATTTGTCGGCTGCACATCCAAGATGCGAATCTCCCGTTCCACCACATCCCAAAGATGCTCTATTGGATTGAGATCTGGTGACTGTGGAGGCCATTTGAGTACAGTGAACTCATTGTCAGGTTCAAGAAACCAGTCTGAGATGATTCCAGCTTTATGACATGGCGCATTATCCTGCTGAAAGTAGCCATCAGAAGTTGGGTACATTGTGGTCATAAAGGGATGGACATGGTCAGCAACAATACTCAGGTAGGCTGTGGCGTTGCAACGATGCTCAATTGGTACCAAGGGGCCCAAAGAGTGCCAAGAAAATATTCCCCACACCATGACACCACCACCACCAGCCTGAACCGTTGATACAAGGCAGGATGGATCCATGCTTTCATGTTGTTGACGCCAAATTCTGACCCTACCATCCGAATGTCGCAGCAGAAATCGAGACTCATCAGACCAGGCAACGTTTTTCCAATCTTCTATTGTCCAATTTCGATGAGCTTGTGCAAATTGTAGCCTCAGTTTCCGGTTCTTAGCTGAAAGGAGTGGCACCCGGCGTGGTCTTCTGCTGCTGTAGCCCATCTGCCTCAAAGTTCGACGTACTGTGCGTTCAGAGATGCTCTTCTGCCTACCTTGGTTGCAGTGGCGGCTGCTGGTCTTTCAAGGAGGGGAAGCTAATTTTTCTGGCCAACATCATAATTGTATTTGTTTATTAGTATGTAACAGAACAGAGTCGCCAAACACAACGGCAGTCGTTTTTAACAAAGACAAAAGTCGCTGAGGATCGGTAAAGTATCCGGAGCAGTTAAGAACAACGGAATGAATAACTTGGAAAATGCTCTGGTAGATGTTTTATTCTTCAAGATCGCTGATTCGCTTGTTTAGCTGTCAATCAAAAAAGGATTTCGCCTCAGACAGCTCATCCAATCATGGATGCAGAAGCTCGGAGTCCGGGAGAAAGTCGGGACCGCCCTCTCGCCATAGAGCTCCAGTGAAGCTGGGCTTCCGATGGGCGGGACAAATCCCAGCATTTATCCAATGAGCGTCTAGTTTCGCTGCTGGAACAACCCACTTTGGGCTTCCACATTGAAGTCAGCAGAAGCCCAGCGTCCGGCTGTTTAAAGCGCTGAGGCGCTGCGAGGATGAATGAGAACGAAGTTATGCCGGTTACCTGTGATTATCAGCTTCTTATCACAGTGTCTGAACAAAAGATGAAGGCTTTCTAGTGCGTATTTAGTTAATGAAATGTACACACAGCCGTACGTATTTCACCACTTTTTCTTTTTTTGGGGGGGTGACATTTTAAGGGAAGCCGAGCTTCCCTTGCAGTCTTAGAGCAATCGCCACTGCTTGGTTGTAACGGGTGGTTATTTGAGTCACTGTTGCCTTTCTATCAGCTCGAACCAGTCTGGCCATTCTCCTCTGACCTCTGGCATCAACAAGGCATTTCCGCCCACAGAACTGCCGCTCACTGGATATTTTTTCTTTTTCGGACCATTCTCTGTAAACCCTAGAGATGGTTGTGCGTGAAAATCCCAGTAGATCAGCAGTTTCTGAAATACTCAGACCAGCCCTTCTGGCACCAACAACCATGCCACGTTCAAAGTCACTCAAATCACCTTTCTTCCCCATACTGATGCTCGGTTTGAACTGCAGGAGATTGTCTTGACCATGTCTACATGCCTAAATGCACTAAGTTGCCGCCATGTGATTGGCTGATTAGAAATTAAGTGTTAACGAGCAGTTGGACAGGTGTACCTAATAAAGTGGCCGGTGAGTGTAAACTTTCTCTTTGGAAGTGAAAAGATGCAGGGACTCTTTAACCAGTCAAACAAAAGTGTTGATAGTAAAATGCGTGATTACTGTGATGGCACACATTTTGCACAACATAAATTATACAGCAGGTATCCCAATGCCCTACAAATCCAACTTTATTTTGATGATGTCGAAACTACGAATCCCTTATCATCGAAAACTAAGGTTCACAAAATGGGAGCTGTTTACTATTGCTTAAGGAACCTGCCTGTAGAATTCAACTCTACCCTTGCAAACATTCACCTTTGCCTACTCTTCAATTCTATTGACAGAGATAAATATGGCTTTGGCAAAATATTAGAGCCATTGCTGGATGACATTGGAACTCTGGAAATGGAAGGGATAGAGGTTGAAATTAATGGTCAGCGTAATAGGCTCTATGGAACTATCTGTCTCTTGTCTGCTGATAATCTTGCGATCCATTCACTTGGAGGGTTTTTAGAAAGATTTTTAGCCAACAAATTTTGCCATATATGTTTAACTGACAAACAAGCTGCCCAGAATGTGTTTGATGATGATCACCAGGAGTTTCGTTGTAAAGCAAACTATGAAGAACATGTTATGCTTAACAATCCATCTCTTACTGGTATAAAAGAGGATTCCTGTTTAAACTCGCTCAGTTATTTTCATGTGACTGAAAACATTTGTGTTGACATTATGCACGACATTTTAGAAGGTGTGGCTCCAGATGAAGTAAAACTGATGCTAAAACATTTTATCTATGAGGAGAAGCTTTTCACATTAAACCAGTTCAATGACAGATTGAGAAGCTTTGATTACGGTTGTGCAAATGAAAAAAACAAACCTACTGTCATTCTTAATTTAAGGACATCAGATAATCCCATTAAGCAAACAGCAAGTCAAATGTGGTGCCTATTACTCTTTTTACCTTTCCTAATAGGAGATTTCATACCTGAAAATGATCAACACTGGGAATTGTTCCTCCTCCTCAGAGAAATATGTAGCATAGTGTTTGCCCCAGTTGTTACCAATAGTCTTTCTGTCCTTCTGAATCAGTTGGTTATAGATCACCATAACCTCTTCAAGAGTCTGTATCCAGACAGGCCGCTCACACCAAAACATCATTTTATGACTCACTATTGGCGTATGATGATCAAATTCAGACCCCTTCTGAAGTTGTGGTGTATGAGATTTGAGGGTAAACATGCTCCCCTGAAAAGACATGCTCATGTTGTGTGTAATTTCGTCAATATCTCTAAAACTTTGGCTTATAAATGTCAAGTTCAAAGTATGTTTAATTGGAAATTTAGTGACCCCCCTCATGAACAAAATTACTGTCCCAAACTCATTTCCACTCATTGTTTGATCTCTGGGAAAAAGTGATGCGCTCATTCAAAATTTAAAAGCACTTGGCTATGATATTGGCATTTGCAGCACAATTCATGTTGCTCACTCTGTCTGTGTGCTTGGTCAGACATACAGGACTGGTTGCGTGCTTGCTTTGAACTGTGACTTGAGAGGAGAACGTCTCTTTGGGGAGATAATACACATGTTTCCAAATTGTGAACAGGAAGAGTTGTTAATGTTTATTCAAATTTTGTCAGTGAAATATTTTGATGATCATCTGTATTCTTATGTCGTGGAGCGAAATGCTGAGTTTAAAATGATCTATATTAAGGACGTTGCAGACATTAAACCACTTGATTTGCTGTCATCTTACAGTGGAAACCAACTGTATGTTAATCCAAGATACAAACTTATTGCTTAGGTCTGCGTTACTGAAAAGTGCTTAACTCTTCAGATATGAATATTGAATATGATTATAGGCAGCTAGTATTTGTAAGTGGCTATGTCCTCAGGGGACGGTTGTTTGACATGCCATGTCTGTATTTCAGTTGTTACATCTTTGCACTTATGATGTAAGAAATGTTTACAAAATGTTTTGCACTGCTGCCTGAAGCAAATAAAATTTATAAAAGTGACTTGAGATTCAAGCAATTTTTTATTCTTTTTAGTGACCAGGTTTGGTAATTTAGCAGATAATTGCTGTAAATTTATATTGAACATTATTTGTATTTTAATATTTTATAAACAATAACACAGTTGTGTGTAAATTGTATGAAAATAACACACTTTTGTGTGAAGAATACATAACGCAGCTATGTGTAAATTGCATGAAAATATGACACAGCTCCGTGTTATCTTTGTGTAAACCCAACACAGTTGATGTGTTGACACATTTAACACACATGTGTAAAATCTGTCAACACAAAGTCATGTGTCAAAACAACACATTGTGTGTTGTCCTTAACTAGACACACGGATGTGTTAAGAAATAACACATGATGAGTTACTTTTGACACATTCGTTTTGAGAGTGCGCACGTCTGTGATAATTTGCACGGTCCAGAAAAGGTGCTCTGCTGGTTGGTCCGTTTTTGTCGGCTGACATCAGTCTGATAAGCTGCACTTGTGTGCTTACCTCAGAGGTGGTAGTTCAGACTCTTAAAACTGTTTTAATTCTGTTTGACAAAAAGAGCATATTATTTTGACTTGTCAGCTGTCAAGAATTCAAAAGCACAGTGGCGTCATTATTTCCATCAGGAGAGCAGGAAGTAGGCTTACTAGGGGGGAAAAGATGATTAAAAAGTAATCTGTTATTTTTGGATCATGATTCTCACGTTAATGCTGACAGCCCCTTTTATTTACTGTAACATTTAATAAGGCAAAGAGTCAATCCACAATATGAGCTAAAATAAGCAAACAAACACACACACACACACACACACACACACACACACACACACAGAGTCTTAGGAACACATTACAAAGTCATTTTGATTAAACATGCAGTAAAACAAATTTAGAAAAGGTCAATAACATATAATTAACACGACTGCGACACAAATTTGTTTGTAGAGCTCTTAAGCAATGTGTCACTCAACCTCACTCTCTTCACTTTATGTCTCACTTCCTTTGATGCCCATGTCAAAAGGCTAAAACATAGATTACTTGGCTGCAGCGCATGACTTTGGTTTTGTATATAATCGGGGGGGGGGGGGCAACTCTAAGATGCAGCGCAACACAATATTGCCTCAAAAATGTGTGCATCTGCTCAGAATAACAACTCTGTTCTTGCCTTGTCTTCTAGTTACATCCCAGTCGGTGATTAAAGAAGAAGATCCTTCTGAGCAACACAAGTGGACACCCACTCCTGATAAAGAAGTGCAAAAACTCCCCTATATTAAAGAGGAAGAGGAAGACGTGTGGAGCTGTCATCAAGTGGAGAGGCCTCAAGGACAGAAGGATGATATCTCCAAGTTACCTTTTAATGTTGTAACTGTGGTATGTGAAGAGGAAGCTCAATCCTCCAAGATTCACCAAAGGCAAACCGATCAAGCTAGAGCTGATGGAGAGGGCTGTGGAGGATCAAATAAGACATCCTCTTCAGATTATGACACTGAGAACAGTGATGATTTTTCACAGGGGATAAATCAATCTCAGACGGGTTTCGAAACAGCTGAAAGATTACCGAACATGATGACCAACACAGAAGGGAAACCCCTGAGTTGTTTCATTTGTGGCAAAGGTTTTAGTGACAAATCCAACTTGAGGAGGCACATACGATTTCACAAAGGGGAGAAAACATACAACTGTGATTTTTGTGAGAAAACTTTCACTGAAAAGGCCTATTTGAAAAGACATTTAAGAAATCATACAGGGGAGAAACCATTTAATTGTCCAATCTGCGGTAAAGGTTTCAGTGGAAACATAGATCTGATAAGGCATGTCAGAACCCACACAGGGGAGAAACCCTTCAGCTGCTCCATTTGCGGTAAAGTTTTCAGTCAGCATGAAAATCTGCGCAGACATGAGAGGACTCACACGGGGGAGAAACCATTCAGCTGTATGGTTTGCTCAAAGGGGTTCACCCACAAAGGCGCGCTGGTTGTACACATGAGAATTCATACTGGGGAGAAACCGTTTAGCTGTTCAGTCTGTGGGAAAAAATACAGTGAAAAGGGAAATCTGAAAAAGCATATGATAGTTCACACTGGAGAGAGACATTTCAGCTGCAGCATTTGTGAAAAGAGATTTAAATATCAGTCCCAGGTCAAAAACCACAAGTGCTCTGGTGAGAGCAGTACGACAGAAGTCCATCAGCTATGTGGAGATCCAAACTCCTCAGATGGCATTATTGTGGTCCAAGAGGCAGTTAAATCTGAAAACTGTTAACACAGAAGATTGGAAAAACCTGAACTACATTAACAGAAACATCCAAGAGGGCCAATTTATCTGCAGCAACAGAGCTCAGCTGTGTAACCAAAAAACAAAAAACAGTGAACAAAAATACATCAGCTTCATTTGGAGAGGACAATTGCATAAACACGTAGGTAGCAAGTCTAACAATTACTGAATGTTTCACATGAAAAGCCAATCAAACTAAGAAAGCACAATTCATATGGAGTCGGAATAAGCTAAAATCACCATAACCAAGAAATGCTTTGTAGCACCAGAGATCTCGAGGCCACCTTACAGTACACTGATTGGGATGAGTATCTGTGATCTTCCACTTTTAAAAAATATGGTGTTTTAAATTTTCTGAATTCTGAAAGTGTACAATATCGCAACCCTAATGTCTTTTTAGACTAAAGCTAGGTGTGTGATTTGGTAAAGTTATTGCAAAGATGTTGACAGGTGCATGTTGATATCCTGCCAACCTGAGCTTGAAATGTATGTGGCTCTGTCATAAAGAGACTCCCCTCAGTTTGAAACTTTACATTTCATTCAGTCAGACTGAACTTTGTACAAAGCATGAATTCAAACCTTTTAGGAAAAAGTGCTGGTGTGGTGTCCTTGTGATACGTTTACTACAATCAAATCAAAATATTTTAATTTGGGGTTTAGTATCTGGTAGTGAACCAATACAAAGACACTGCCACTCACCTGAAAATCAAACTGTAAATGTGCTTTTAGTCTGAGCGAAGTTTGCATATCCTGTACCCAAACATCTATAGATCCTGAGTAGCATACAGCATATTCATGTGTTGCAGGCACATATCATCATGCATGACTTATAGTCGAGCTATTGTGTGGTCAACATCCTTTTAAACATTAATATGGTGTGCTGGTTGAATCAGCTCCCATGGACAGAGGTTTCTTATGTGACACTCCCTACACTCTTCTACTTTACCCACTGTCCAGTATGTTTCAATAAATTTTTTAAATGCCTAAAAGTAATCTTTGAAAAAAGGATTATGCAATGACAATAAGGTTAATCATCAATCATGAAGTCAAAAATGGTTTGCTATGAGATGTTATGTATTAAAATTCACTTAATGTTTTATATTTTACTTGGTGTTTTTTATTTTCTTGCACTTGAAGGAAGTTTTTTTTTTCTTTTCTTTTTTTTAACGTGGTCAAAGGGTGGCACGTTGGCCAAGGTTAGTTGTAAGTAGGTACAACTGGGCGACACTGCGTCAACTAGACTGACTACTAAAATGCAACATGCTAATATTCACAAAGTAGAATAAACAAACACTTCCATCATCAGAGTGCAGTACAAAAACAGTAATATATGACTCAATGTCTGAGTGGTTGACATGTGAAGCTCTGTATCGGGGTCAGGCAAGAAATTGTGCTTCATGACTTTAAGGTCATACCTGCACATTTTCAACAGACTTCTCCCAAAGTGATAACATGCTGCATGCCAAGTGTTTTTTTTTACTATAGGTAGAAGACTTTTTAGATGATTTCTTGACTTTAAAATTACTTTGTCTTCAGCTGTTTTCTCTATTTTGTTTCTTTCTATTTTGTGTCTTTATCACCACATTGTGTAGATCACTGACTGAAATTAAGAAGAATTGGAGAAGACTCAAAACTCATTGATAACCAGCTTATACTGGTTTAGTCTCATCAGAGATATTACAAATAATCCATAAAAATGCTGTATTTATTTCGAACATAGAAGAGACGTGTTGGTAGATACACACAGGCCTTGTTTTTTTTAAGGGCAAATTTTTGACTCCTGGGGACACCATGATGCACCAGTGAAATTTTGCCAACAGAGGTCAGTGTTTCTTTGTAAATGTTTCATCATCCTGTTCATTCTCTGTAGAGAATCCAGTATACACTGACAATGTACCTTTTAGCAAGTGCACTAATTTCAGTGAATGAAACTGCACTTTTCAACTTTTTTGGAAATGTACCATTTTATTTTTTTCACTTCTTTCCCTTCAGATCATTGTTAGGTCAGTTTCTAACGATAAATTAGTATCTGTCCCTGGATGTCAAAATTAGCATAGTCTCTTTTAAGTTGTAGTTTTTGAATGATACCCTTGTTCAGACTGGAAGCGAGCAATCAGAAGTAAGACAAAAGACTGCTCATTTAAAGCTGCTGTAAGGGGTGTTTATGTGCTTGAGTCATAGAGAGTAGTTCATTCATTTTTTTTTTTAAGAACAGAGGTAGAACTTTGTCAACAGCGGTGCCAAAATCAAAGTTCCTCTCAGGAGCTTGGGTCATGTTTTCAAGTATCAAGATGCCTTACAGGGATTTTTCAATAATTTTGAAAAACAGTAAGTGCAGAACCAACCTAACATTTGGGTCAGAGTTTTTTACAATCAGCTAAATTACCTGCTAGAGTTGATCCTGTCTGCAGCAGTTGAATCAACTTGCTTCTGTGCTTGTTATCCTGTCAGTTTCCAACCAAAGGAGCTGAGCTGGACTGGATCCCCTGTGGATAGGAATACAGTTACTATTAACAACACCTCATACAACCCCACCCCCCTTACAATGAAAAATAAAAAAGTCTGCATTATCCCTTTACCCTAGAATCACGAGGATGGAGGATGAAGGGGGTCTGCACTCCTCGATCGGGTACCCTCCGTGCACACACACATGGGCACACAAACACAGAGCTGATAAGTATTCAAACCTTGTCTAGACTGCATCACCCCCACCTTTCCCTCTCTGCATCAGTGCTCCAGCATCCAGATAAAGAGAGAGAGGGAGCGTGCAGAGGGATATCCCACCGCCTGACTTCCCAGATCCAAAAGGAGATAAGGCAAGTAAAAACCCTCTCTTATTCTTTTCATTATCATATGGTCATTAGTACTCACCATGGATATTATTTTTATTCAGATTTGCTGTTCAGCTGCTGGTAAATATTCAGAGAATCATCAGTTGCTGGTTATGATAGTCATTTCAGTAAAAAAAAAAAAATAAAGTACTTTCAAGTATTGAGTGTGCAGAACTGACCTGGCAACCAACATACTTAAAAATGATGTTCGGTATCAAAATATACGTAAATGTGAGGAGGATTACATCTGATATAATTTTCCGTCATGAAAAAAATGCATCACAAGTGACATATGGTGTAAATGAGCGATTTTTTTCCATCTGATGCCAGCTGTTACGTAACACGCCTGCCTGTGTACTGAGGCAGAATACTAAACATTTGGGGCTGGATTCTCCCATAATACAACAGACCGCTATCACTGACCCCCACCTCTGAGGCCACTGTAAAAGCAAACTGTATTTATTTATAACAGATATGAACTTGTGAAATCCCAACAAAGTTTTGATTGAAAATCTTGAAGTGGAGAGAATATTGTGACATTGATGATGCCTACAAAAACATTTTAGGCAGTTGTTACTTGAATATCAAATGCGGTGCTTTATAAAAACACATTTGTATAATTTGTGGCAGGCAGGTATAACTGGATATGAATGTCCTTATGTGCCATAAAAACATGGCTGTTAATCATGGACAAATATGCTTTTACTTGTGTTACATATGATCCATAAAAACTAAAATGTAGTCAACTATGATAAAAATAACAACTTGAAATTCTATGTGGAAAAAAAAATCTTATTGGCATTAGAGCTGTCACAATATCAGATTTTGAAAAAATATCACAATAACGATATTATTGCAATATTCATGGAAAAGTTGAAATACTAACATCAAAATATGTAAAACTGAGAAAAGACAAGAAAAGGGTGAAGCAACATGATATAAATGTAAATAACTATTAGAGTCCATATAAACAAAGATAACTTATGTAACCATCCATTTCTAGTTATGTTTACATTTGTGATTTATCCACATCACTGGCAGTGTGACTGAAACTTCTTAAGATAAGACCTTGCCCCATAAAACACATTTTTGGTGTACTTTATGTAGTTATTTTTTCCCCCTACATTTTAACATTATACTTTTATTTAGAAAACTGAGATACTTCCTGTTAGTGAGTTTTGAAATTGAATACAAACAGAAGAACAGTCCTTAAGTGCAAAATTCAATTGATTTGTAACTCAAAGAGACACAAGCTCCAAAAATCATAAAATCCTGTGTTTTTCAGTGTACCTAATCCAGTGGTTCTCAAGTTCAGTCCTCGAGGCCCACTGTCCTGCATGTTTTAGATGTTTACCTGCTCCAACACACCTGATTCAAATGATCAGCTCGTTATTAAGCCATTACAGAGCTTGATAACGAGCTGATCATTTGAATCAGGTGTGTTGGAGCAGGGAAACATCCAAAACATGCAGGACAGTGGGCCTAGAGGACTGGACTTGAGAACCACTGACCTAATCAATCATCTCTCAGAGAGCTTCTTCAAGTCAGGCACTGTCTGTTGTTACTATTTAGGCCAGGGGTGGGCAATCATGTGCCATGGAGGGCCGAGAGGCTGCAGGTTTTCTTTCCAACCCAAAACTCCACCAGGTGATTTCACTGATTACCTTACCTCCAAGCAGAGAGCAGGGACTAATCAGTGAAATCACCTGGTGGAGTTTTGGGTTGGAAAGAAAACCTGCAGCCTCTCGGCCCTCCATGGCACTTGGTTGCCCACCCCTGACTTAGGCTATATGGTGTGTGGCAACTAGCCAAGAACACTTCTATGAACTTGCATGTTACTGTTTGCTCATTTTTAGCACAATACCAATATCTGATCAATTAATTAAGACAATAACCCTCAATGTCAGAATATGGGGACACTCCTATGTGAACCCATACAGTTGGAACAACGGTCTGTTTACGAAAATGACACTTTGGGATCATGCTAAAATAAGATTTCAGTAATATCATGAGCAGTAGCTGCTAGCAAGCTAGCTGTAGCACCTCTCTGAGATGATAAGGCACATATAAAAACTCCTATTATTATTATTATTCCTGTTAATTGTAAAACATCAGAGCTTGTGCCCCTTTGGTGTTCTTATTAATTAAACTTCAACT